CTGAAGTTCAGCCGTGAGACACTGTCATATCTGTCTGTAGGAGTTTTTGTTTCAGAGAGGCAGAGAGAAAAAACCCCTCTTCCTATGCTTTTGCAGTGAAGTTTGAACAGGAACCTGCTCAAATCCCACCTTCAAAGCTGCTTCCCTTCTGTCTTCCTTATATGCAGTTTTCTAAAGAATGCCAGAAAGGCTTTGGACTGTGCCAAAACCTCTGTATATGTAAAGAAGCACTATCATGAGTATGTTTTGGGTTACTTCCTAATTTTCTTAATGCCTGTCATTAGTCTCTATTCTGGAAACAGGATTTACCACTTAACAGGAATAAGACACACACAAGTGGAGTAGAAAGCAGCCCTGGTGTGAGTTGTAAGGAGGAGCAGGGCAGACAGCATTGGCAATAAACAGCCACTTCATGGACTTTGTTGTGAGAAAAGTAAGTTCAAGAATATAAACCAAAAGGGAAAAAATAGATTAATAAATAGAAAAAGTGGGGAAGGCCTTAAGGGGAGAGAGAAGTGATTCTCCCAAATTTGAATCATAAAATGGCCTGGGTTGGAAGGGACCTTAGAGATCATCTAAGTTGCTCCAACCAACCTGACCTTAAACACTTCCAGGAATGGGGCAGCCACAGCTTCTCTGGGCAACCTGTACCAGTGCCTCACAGTAAAGAACTTTTTCCTAACTTCTAATCTAAACCCACCCTCTTTCAGCTTGAAGCCATTTCCCCTTGTCCTGTCACTCCAGGCCCTTGTAAACAGTCTCTTTCCATCTTTCCTGTAGGCTCCCTTCAGGTACTGGAAGGCCACAATTAGGTCACCCTGAAGACATCTTTTTTCTCGGCTGAACAATTCCAATTCTCTCGGGATATAGGGATATAGAGTCCAGATGACTTGAAGGTTGGAGAGAATGGGACTTAGTTGGCCACTTTTTTTCAATATGGAGCTTTGGACACTAACATTCAATTTGAGGCATTTCTTTGATATAAAAAGTTAACTCCAATAATGCCCAATCTACCTCACTAAAACTAGCTCTACATACCATATACAACCAAAATTGTTTATAAAGTGAGGTGAGAACATAAATCTCATTTGTCATGTTGGCAGAGGCAAACTATTCCAAATAATATATTTTGACATAGAGCTCTATTTTTGCTTTTTATTTTTAGGACTTAATTAAGGTTGCTCTCTGCTTGCTATACAGAATGAAGGTACTAGAATATGGTCTAGAATAAATGTCAAATTGGAAATGCCTAAAATATCCCAGATGACTAAACAAGGCAAATGGGTGTTGTGATGTGTTAATGCATATGTAAGCTTTCAAATTAAACAAGATCATGTTTTAGCTAAATGCCAGTACCTGAAGGAATTCGTATAGGAGCTCTGTAGGAATGCATACTTCTCTTTTTCCCTGCCAAAGAGTTGCTTTTCAAGTGCTTCTAGTAATATATATTTAGTTTTTGGTTTTCTTCCTTCTGTCCTTCCAAGCTTAACCTTGAATGGGAAGCTGTCTGTGTTCATGGTATTATGAACTTAAGGTTTTCATGTAAACTTGTATAAAGGTGATCCCCATTAAAAATTCTCTAGTTCTTGTGCAAAATTTTTTGCCTTTTTTTTTTTCGTTCCCAATGCTGGGAAAAAAACCCAAAATATTTTCATCAGTTTGTTAGTGAAACAGCTGTTTTTAGTGCCCTGTGCCTACAGGATGTGCAAGAATCCATCACAGAGCCTGTGTGAAGCTTTCTGCAGCAGCTTGGTAGGTCATCTTTTATCTAGATTCAGAAGTACTGTTCTCCTACTCTCTAAGTATTGTTAGTGTCAGTAAATTTACTAATTTAGGACTCTGCCAGTGGCTTTTAATGACCTGTGCTGCATGCTAAGCTTTTATGGATTTAATATGCTGACTAATTTATATCCTTACACCGTTAATGCAGCATCACAGTTCTTGAATTAATCCTTCACTCAGGCAATCGAAATTCTGCCAAGGTCCTTATGTTTCATAATCCTAGACTTGAAGGGGGGAAAAGGGATAACCAGGGTGTTTTAGGTGGGACCAAGACAACTTTTATTCAGAAATTGCATCTGGGCTCTATGTAGGTTAACACTACTCAGAAAAGTGAAGAGTTTAGTATCTTACAGTCTTGAAGCTACAACTCTGCCTGGTTTTCTCTGGCATGATGGAAAATACATCTACATCATCACCACCTATAGCAGGGGACAGCCACAGTATATCTGTTGTCATTTAGCATTGTTAATGTGAATGACCTAAACTGACATTGGATTTCTGTTGTTGTTTATTCTCATTTTTCTTTTACTATCTTGTTCCCCTCCCCTAAACTGACATAATAGGAGGCAGGTATTCTGTTGAAAATCTCTTGATTTTCATGGTAATTTGAATTGATTTAACTTACCTCAGCCTTAGCTTGGTGAAGTTTCCAGATGACAGCTTTTAAATGGGTGTAAATACACTTTAGGGGTGGGTGGGGGAACAAATGCACAAACCCACCTTTTATAGAGTTCTCCTTGCATGCATAAATTCTGCATGGTTTGGTAAATTGTAAACAGATCAAGGCCAGTAGATCTGAAGTATCCACCTTTTAGATCCAGCCTGTTTTCTCACGCTGGGACTCCTGACAGTTTCTGTAGCTGAAGCCAAGCGGGTGAGAGGTGAAGTGCTGCTCCATGTAAAGTGTTTGGAAGGACAAAAGATGGCTCAGCAAACTGGAAATTCTTTTGCCTTGGCTGTTTCTGAAGCACTGGGGTGGTTGGCCATGGGAGGTCTCCTTTATAGCTCTTTATCGCAGGAAGAACTGTAGGTTCCTCACTGAGGTACTTTGGGCACAGAAATTGGTTGGTCGTAGGCACTTGTTTACACTTACACTGGGGAATTATCTTTTTCTTAATGGAAGTGTCCCAAAGTTGATTTAGCTCAGTATAGAAGAGCTATGGCACTGCCCTTAGCATTAGTGCTGTCGGTACTAGATTAACTGGGATGGTTCTGCTGCATCTCCACACAACCATGCAGAGTGAGCTGTTCTGGAGAGAAGTTTAATAACTAAATATCTTGCATAAGAAGTAGGACAAAGCTGAAGAAGAAAAGAACGTATTGGACAATCCTCTTAATTACTCTCAGCAGATTGCACAAATGGGTTTGTTCAGGTTAGTAAAAAAGCAGAGTTATGTGTTCAGTTTAGAGTTCTGGATTAAAGAAATAGAGTTTTATGGAAAAATCTACAGATTGAATGCTGGGCAAAAATGCTAAGCTCAAGTACAGTTTTCTGTACATAATTTGTGTATTTGTGTTATGAAATTGACCTGCTCAACTGCTTGGCATTTTGATGGCACTTGGATTAGTCATGGAGAAAATTCAGCCTTTGGACATTGTATTTCAGCAGCTGGTTTATTTTGTATGTAAGACATTGCTATGTTTTGCTTGATGAAGAGCCCACCAGTGGAATGCTGTTACATCATGAGATATAACTTCAATTAGTATCAACTTCTAGAATGACACTTCAATTAAATATTAACATTTTCTCTGCTTTGAGTAAGTAAACAAAGGACTCTGTTTTAATCTCCCTTCTCTGCAATGATGGATAAAAGGAGAACGTGTATTTGGAACGGCAAAACAAAAAAAAAAGTTTTACTACTCAATTATCTGCTTTGTTTTAGCAAGTTCAGAAACTATTTTTGGTTGATGTTTTTAATTTTCTTTTTTAAAAATTATTTTATTTTTAAATCTAAAAAAGTTAGGAAAGATATCTCTAGGCTTTCCATTTTGCTGGGGATGCTGTGTACTGTGGGGTGTGGAAAAAGGTTAAACTCTGTACAAGCTCTTTACAAGGAAAGTCAGGAACATGGGAACTTTTCAAGAACTTATTTGTTTTCCTTCCACCATGCTCTAAAGTATTAGGATAAATGCAGAGCCTCTTCACAGTTTGAGTTTCACTTTCTTGGCACTGAGGGATTGAAATCCCATTAAACCTGTTGTGTTTAAGTGACTTAAGTCTTTACTTGTGTAGGACAAGTTGCAGGATCAAAATCTATTGCTGGAGTAGGCAAGCTCTGCTTTTTCAAAATAAATAGCTAATAAGTGATGGGGTGGGGAAAGAGTTATAGATAGTAAAACCAACACGTATGAATAGGAGGGGAAATCCTTCCCATGCTGTTCTGATGAGCATGTTTAAAATACTTCAGACCTTTTCTGCTACCCTGTCTTCATCAAAATGCTGTTCTGTCGTAATGAAGTGAATTTTAATTAAGATGCTTTCTGTCTGTACAGAAAAGCAGTGATGCAGCTACAAAAGTGCTCAGGACTCTGGTTCTCAGCCACTGCTTTGGGCTTTTATTATTTTGCAACCCAGAGTTGTCTTGTTCTTGTACTCTCTTGGCTCCAGGCTTTGTGTTACACTTTGGAGTTCTTTGTGGGTGTGCCTGTAGACACCTGTTTTCATGTCCTAGTGTCTGTAAAATGGGAATATTATCAGTTCTTTACTGCAGAGGTGTACAACCCAATTTCCTTATTCAAATGTACGTTCCTCAGGTCCTGTAATAATGGGAGGAGTGGACAGAATGCAAAAAGTACAGCTAACTGCAAGTGGAATTAAGTTGCATATACAGAGGTGTATTCTCTCTGCAGTGAGGAGGTAGATGATAGAGGGCCTACAAGATCAATTTTAAATGGCTAAACAAGCTTTCATTTCCATTTTAAAGCTGATAGTTATACAATTAAATTCTTGTTGTAAAAAGTAACTTGCCTACCATTTAAAACTACTGTACCATTTATGTGATTAAGTGCAAAGAATTTTTTTTATTATGCTATTTTCTTGGCAAAAATAATTGTCTTCTGATGAAAATAAGTCTAGCAAAGTTAAGTGAAATAATTTACTTTCTGAAATGAAACTTCAGCATTGCATAAGTTTAACGCTTCATTTCTTTTGCTTATTTGGAAGAACTTTGTATTGTTTGTAGAAGTGCTTAAAGGTTTTCTTAATTTTTTCTTTTCAGTCATTATTTAACCTACTGGAGTTTCGAAGACTAGTTTTGAATTTCAATCCTCCCGCAAATGCTCAAGACTTGCCCCGAAACCAAAAGGTAAAATGAGAAGCTGACTTCCCCTCGTGGCTAAGGGCATTTCTCTCTCGTGCCTGAATTTTGCACTGTTCTCTAGCTCAAATTAACATGGATTTTAGAGGTGCCAGTTAGCAGTCCTCTGAGCTTCCTGTGGTGGATCTTACATAAATGATGTCAGCCTCGTGGTAGAGTGCGGGGCAGGGTGTTGGGACAGGCAGAGCATTTCTCCTGTGAATGTAGCTTGTCTTAGCAAACACTTGATTCCAGTTCCCTCACCCTCATGATGTGAGATTAAGCTTTCTGTTATTAGCTTGTCTCTTCTGGCCTCTTCATGAGGTAATTGTAAGCATAAATTTTCTCACGTGTATTCTGGTACTCTTGTAGGATTGAGGAGGGGAGGGCCTTGGCTTGGGTTTCTTCTGACTTCAGACTAGCAAGGGGGAATGGTCATGGACTGATCACTGATCAGTTTTTCCTCCTTCATGGACACCCTCTGAGGAGAGATACATGGGAGCCCCTTGGTTTCCATGCTACAAATTGGAAAGGTAGAGATGGGAAAAGGAAGTGGCTGTAGAAAGTGTGAAGACACGTGGTACCATTATTTTTAACAGTGGCTTATAAGGCAGTGAATTTTTGCATATCCAGAAATTAGAATCATAGAATGGTTTAGGTTGAAAGGAACCTTAAAGATGATCCAGCTACAACCCCTGTGCCATGGGCAGGAACACCATCCACTAGACCAGATGGCTCAGAGCTGCATCCAGCCTGGGCCTGGCCTTGAACACTTCCAGGGATGGGGCATCCACAAGTTCTCTGGGCAATCTGTTCCAGCACCTCACCACCCTTGCCATAAATTAGACTATTGCCTGTTGCCTCTTTTTTTCAGATTTAAGAAAGGGACTGTGTTGTCTGCCTGTTCTTAGTTGTCTGTCACTTCAGGCTTGACTGGAATGTTCAGTAGCAAAACTAAGAACTGTAATTAGAGAAGCAAAGGAAAAGAGACAGTGTCCATTTTCTAAACTTCTGAGTGTGTACCCTGAAAGGGAAGTTGAATGTTCAGACAGAACTGTGCAATTTTTCCCCTGTCCGGCTCCCTTCCTCCTCCCCCCGCATTCAAATAGGAAGGAGTCACTTTTTTTTGGGTAGGAAAGCATGTTTGCATTATGTCATGAGATGATGTGAAAATACAACATGGGTAGTGCTGGGAACATGGCACAAGGTGCGGATGGGGCAGTTTATTCTAGTAAGAAAGATAAGTCATGCTTTACCGAAGAGTTGTACTGGGTATTTTTATTTATTTATTTTTAGATTGACCTTCTGCATAGTATTTAATTATTCATCCTATAATTTGTTTTAGTAATGTCTTCCAGTACTCAGAGTTCTTTACCTTCAGTTTTCAGTGTGTAAAAAGCAGTTGGCATCTAAGAGGTGGTATGAAATAGCTAGTAACAAGCTGTTGTCTTGAAAAACATCTTGCCCAAGCATTGACACTTGCAGGTGAATGCCTTTAGCAATTCCAAAGTGGTATTTTTTAAAAATTCTGACCTTGACAGACAGTATTAAGGCTGTGTGAAATGGTGTGACACCAGGAGAGTATATGGATTTGTGCAGAAACCTTGCTTTCTGCAGGCCTGTTAGTAGGAATCTCTGGCAGTAGTTTGTGTCCTCTCCTTTGTTAACTTAAATTCCAGGATGAAATATGGTATTAATTGGTGTACTCATTTGTCTTATTTACAGCTGAAAAAGCACTGGGACAATTTAGGAAAAGAGATCACTTCACTAGTTGGAACTTTGACAAATAGAGGAAATAAGCATGCATGCCCCCAAATATGGTGCTCTTATTTCTTTATAAGTGAAGGCAAGTAGAGGCAAATTGATTTAAAGTTGTAATATCAGTTACCAGTTGACAAAAGGAAAAAATAAGGAGGTTCTGGAATTTATTTCCATCTGCTTTCTTGTTTTAAAATTGTTTCAACTTTATTTTGTTTTAATTTGTATTCTAGTATTAATAACTATACATGACTGACACTCTTTAGGATCAAATTCCTGTCCTAATAAAGACCAAGTTTTAATAATACCAGATTTTTAATACTTTGGTTTACATCCGGTTGTTCTTCCAGTTGGTGGGACTTATTTAACTCCAGGGTCATGACAACCTCTTGATTTAGAATTAAAGCATGTGGTTGTACTTGAGGGAATATTGCATAGAAGGGCTGTTTGTTCTTTCCCATCAATATATTGAATCCAAATGCTATGAATGATTTGGCATGTAAAGTTGTTAATCCAGAGGTCATTGGTGTAAATTTTAACTTGGAAAAAAAAAATCCCAAACAAACAACAGCCTCACCCTGTTTACCTCAGCTAATTGGGTATTGTTTTTCTGGTTTTGGGCATGCACTTAACATTTCCAATCTGGTTTTGTTCTTTTCATTTTGAAATTAATTTTCTTCCTTGATATCCCTCTGTAGCACAGACATAGTTCTCTGTAGTTACTGCAGCTTCTTTGCTCTCCCAGTTCTCTTACCTCTTGCTGTCACATGAACAGACCTTTTTGCTGCACACAGTGAGACCAGGGAAATATTTGGCCTCAGTGATATCTTCAGGAAACATTTTATTATTGGAGGAAGCAGGTTATTGTGCTACAGGTTAGCACATCCTTCCGCCTGTTTTGATATTATTTTCAGTATTATCACTATGTCACTGTCCTGGCAAACTGATTGACAATAATGAATGTTTGCTATGTATTAAATATGCAAACTGCTTTAGCAGCATTTATAATCATATGTTATTCCAACATGTATTAAGAAATTACTTGTGCAGGCAGGATAGGTGATAAAATAGAGAATGTTTTAGATTATTAACTTCCTGTACAGTTTTAAGTTTGAAACTCATTTTAATCTTTTTTCTTGGTGTTGATGTAGATGCTGTACTGTGATCACTTTATTAGTTCTTTTGTTTTACTGTACAAGTCCTCTGTGGAACTGTATACCTTGTCTTGGGGACTGGCCCATGTTCTTTTGAAGATTTTGGGCTTTGTTCAGTCAGAGTCTGTTTGTTGTGGTAATGCCCACATAATCTGGTCAAGGATCACGCCTAATGCATTAAATCAAGCTTTTTCAAAAAACAGCAAGGATTTTTCTAGTCTTGGAGAACTTTGATAGCCTTTATAAAGATATTTGTTCTGAGTAATTCTACTGACATTGGTAACCAGTTGTTCAGCCTAAAACTACAAATATGCTTAAAACTCAACCAAATTAATAGTGTAAGTTTGGCTAATGCAACAATACTGCCTATATACTTCAGATTTAAAAAAAAAAGGTAAGATTTAGAATATTCTGTGGTTAATAATTTATATCATGCATATGAATTATCACTGGTATTTAAGCATTTGGATAAAATATATCTGTATCTAAAATTTAAAATTCTGTTTAACAGATCATTTTATAAAACAGTAAGAAAAATACCACTTTTGTAATTTGTTTCCCTATTTTGTTGTTATATAGTTCTTTATATATCTAAATGGGAGACTGATTTTGTTCTTAAATTAGGATAATTTAATGCTGAATTACTAGGGTGGCACTTGAAGTCTTCAACCTTTTCTGTGAGGAGTGTTTATAATTGGCAGGTGTTTTGCAAGGTGGACTAGAAGAGCAAGGTAAACTCAGAGATTTATGTGACTAGAGGTATTTTTTAGGTATTACGCAGAACATATGTTCCAATTCACTGCACAGTTTTTAAAGCTGAAGTAAAACATACTTAATGTACAAAAAACTTTGTCCATACTGGATTGACATAGGAGTGACTAAACAAGTCTGCTGTTTGAGCGTGTGAAATAGTTTGTCATCAAGTAATTCTAGTTTGACCAGCATCTGACATCTGTGCTGCCTTTGAATGATACTTTGTTCTAAATACAAGTGGGTATTACATGGAATTTAATTTCATAAGTATTTGTCAGCCATCTACTCAGGAGTATGAGTGATATCCAGTCTCCACTTGTAGTTTAATCTGTGGTATGAAGGACTTGTGTTTTTCTTTGCTTTTCATTATACAGGCAGAAGGCATTTCTTCTCTTCTGGAAACCAGAAAAAGAATGCCATAGTCCCATGAACTGTATCTTAAATAATAGGTACAAAGGAGAGCAGGCTATTTCTCTTACTTCTTCAAGAGAAATAATATTTATGTACACTTTATAAATTTAGTTTTCAGTAAAAAATAAGCTTAAGAAGGTACTGAATAGTGTGTAGGCTCACAAGAAATTCTGCTAGAGGTATAGAGGAATACTAATTTCAATAAAACCAAGGTATATTGTTGCAGTGTATTACTTAAGGCTTTGTAAGTCTTAAGAGGAACGTTTCTGTCTTAAATGCAACGTGGCTTGTCCAGTTGTCAATGTAGCCCCACTTCAAGACAAACAGCATCATCTAGATATAATTCCAGGGAGCTTTTAGTTTCTGAAATGTAATTTTCTTCCCAGAGAACTACATTATTTTGTAAAACTGACAAGTAAAAGGCATGCAACACTACCTTGTAGTACTATAAGTAAGCTTATGTATTATTATGATGATTGGCAAGTTATACACTTAGTTTATTGGGTAGCACTTCTGTAAAGTAGATTTTTGTTATCACTTTGTTAATATTTTTAATTCTTCCAATACAGGAACATAGGAATCTGCCTTTCATGCGTGAATTGAGGTACCTATTTGCACTTCTAGTTGGTTCGAAGAGAAAATATGTTGACCCATCAAGAGCAGTTGAAATCCTTAAGGATGCTTTTAAATCAAATGATTCCCAACAGGTAATTTTCGATCAAGCTTATGCATGTTTTCATATGGTCATCTGGCAATAGGAAGTACTTAGAGTGGACAACAAAAATTCAAAATGTCCACAGAAAAGCTAATAGCTATTAGAGTCTTTGAGCTTTTCCTCTGATATTATGTGATTTCTAGTCAACTTTATTAGGAAAATTTAAAAAAATATTTCAGACAGCATTCCTTTTATTCAGTGCACTTTCTTCCTGTTATTTCAGAAATTAACTAATAGATCCACATTCTTGCTTTTAGGGTTTAGTTCTAAGTCTGAGGCTTTTGAAAGAGCGTTATCTGATCTAACAGTACATCCAGGGCTGGTACAGTCCTATTATCCTGTTTGTGTAGATATTGGTTTGGAGGATCCAGAGGTTCATATGCAGGATTCTTACCTAAATCATAGTATATTCTGCTTTTTTGAGAAACACTTTGTTTCTTCAGATGCTTTGTTTTCCCACATGAGGTTATGTGGCTGAAGTATTTAATTACAACAGCATGCTGAATTTAGTGCTCGATGAAAGTAATATTAGTCACCACTTGTTAGATACCAAAAGGTTTGAACAATGGGATTCATGAGATGCCTTTGGACTAGCATGGTATGAAAGCTGAGCCCAAGTAATAAAGATCACAGGACAGTGTCACAGCTGAGGAACACCAGAGCCACTCATAAAACAAAAACCAATCATGGAATAGTCTTAGACACAATGTGATTTTGGAACACTTGTGGAGGGGAATACTGTTATACTGATCCTGTAAGGTGACCTTTCATTGTGTTCTGTTACATATAGTCTATGATTCTATGATATGTGAACATACACTGATCATTTTGTATGTTTTAACAGCAAGACGTCAGTGAATTCACACACAAATTATTAGATTGGCTAGAAGATGCCTTCCAAATTAAAGCTGAAGAAGAGAGGTAAGTTTTTTTTTTTCTAGCTCTGCATGTTGAACATTTGGATGAGAGAAAAGCAAACCAAACAACCAAAAATCCACTTCTCTGTATGGCTGAAAAAGACCCAACTCTGTAGCTCATTTTGGTTCAAGTGTGTTTTTTTCCATACATGGCAATACCTTGGATTTTTTCCATCAATTGTCTTTTTCACCCCCTTATTTTGTGTTAGAAATCTAGCTCAACGAAGTCCGAAGTGTATAAAGAATAGAGATGTGGTATTTGTACTTAATCAGTTTGGCTCTTTTCATTTGAATGAAGTTTTGCTTTTCGATCCTGCAGTTTGAAATACTTCAAAACCTTGCTCCTTTTTCTCATATCAGAAGTAAATACTCATTGTTTGTATAAGTAAACATCTGTAAACCGTCTTTTGAATATGTAATTTTTTCTAGAGTGTTGCAGGAAATAGTTTTTACAAGGGTTTTGTACAATTAACCACTCATTAATTGAATCTGGTTTACATAGGCACTTCTGAAACTTAATTTTCACTGTAAATATCCGAATCATTGTTACTGTCAATAGATAAAAGTACAAATATAAATTAACAGTAACTGAGTAAAATAGGCAGCATAATTTCCATAATGAATTCAGAATAATCCGTTCATAATTTTATAAAAGTTTGTAGCTTTGTGTTTGAATTTTATTTTTTTTCACTAACACACTTCCTGTTTTTTAGGGATGGAGAGAAACCAAAGAACCCGATGGTGGAATTGTTTTATGGACGATTTCTAGCAGTAGGTGTACTTGAAGGTATGCATCTGGATTTGCTTGGACATCTGTGGTTGTGTCTGTCAAGTGCCTGTCCACATACATGGGTGAACGATGCAGTTGTAGGACTTAGGTACTTCTGCAGAAGCACACTTGGAGAATACAAACTCAGTCTGTGACAAATGGTTTGTCCTGGAAATATGAGACTGAAGGTAAATGCAGTGAGCTGCAGGGATCCAGAAAGACTGTTTTGATAACCTTAAGGAGCTGATTGTATGTTCTCAGTGCAGCAGAAGTTCAGGTGAGATGCTGAGGGAAAATCCTTGGAAGAAATTATTGGGGTACTTTTACCACTTACTAATTGTATATGGAAGGCAAGTTACTGTATTTCATTGAGCTAGTCTCTCATTCTCTCTCTTATTCATTTAGTGCCATTAAAAATTTCATTTTCTTGCATTTTCTTCTGCATGTATGAAAAACTCACCCTCCTAAAAGTTACAGTTTGCTGGAAACAAGTCAGTGGAAACCTTCTCAAAGGCAGTGTTGGGGGGAGTGCTAAGGAGGAAGAAACTGTACAACAAGCTTCCCTTTATCTTATCTGTATGTAATTAGTAGAACTGTGGAATTGCAGTGTTCTCTATTTCCAGGAGGCTATGAAAGCATTTTTGAGTAACTTTAATATTGGTGAATCTGCCCCCCATCCTAAATTAATGACTTGCATTTGAAAGGAGCTATAGTCTTTTAAGTGGCTTCCAGGTTGTTCCTGGAACAAGCTGTTGACAGATTTCAAAACCATTCTGCAGATTTCTTGCTGCTAGCTACCATTCTTGCTCCTTTACATTTAACTACTTTCCTCCTTTACATTCTCATCTGAACTGAGGAGATATGTAAAAATCAAACCAATGGAAAGAAACTAGCAGGCCTAAGAAGACTTGTTACTGACTTTAGCATGAAATAAATTGAAATTCTAGTTTGAAATCACTTGTCCCCTATATTTCTCCTCATGTTTGAGCTTACATCTTTATACACTGTTACCAAATTATAATCTTGTTTTCAGGACAGAAATCATGAGTGTTCTCTTTTGTGGTTTATTTTTGCAAAATGTGCTTATACAAAGGGCTCTTTGATATCAACAATTCCGCTGACTTTGCTGATACAATGTACAGTTGTATTATTAAACTGCTATTTGCAAGAGGAGGATTTTGATTTATATGTGTAAAGTTCTCATACATCTGTAGAGCCAAGGCATTTTGAGTTTTGCCAGTAGATGCCAAAACAATATTAAAAAGTGGGCTGGAGAAGAAAATACATAGATTTTCAGTATTATATTTGAGCCCCTTGTAACTTTGTACATATAATAGGAAAATGTATTTTTCAGTAGACTAGATCAGCTGACCTAGGATTGTTAGTTTTTTAAAAACGTAAATGTTTGTTTCTAAAACATTAACTGTTTCATTTTTCATGTGAAGGTAAAAAATTTGAAAACACAGAAATGTTTGGCCAGTATCCGCTACAGGTTAATGGCTTTAAAGATCTGCATGAGTGCCTCGAAGCTGCAATGATTGAAGGGGAAATTGAATCCCTTCATTCAGAAAACTCTGCCAAGTCTGGTCAGGAGGTGAGTTAAGTGCTCCTGTGGGCTTCTCTAGGGATTTGTTGTAGTGCTTTTTATTTTTCATTTGGGTTCATGGTTGGTTTTTATCTGACCTGCTGCTGTGCAGGTCCTGATGTCTGGCATAATGTTAATTTGAGGGGGTTGTATCTCTTTGGAGTATTCAGAATATAATGTTTTTGCATGTTTCTTAAGATAGGAAGTTCATGCTTATTAAAAGCTGGCACAATTAAGTGCTTACAGTGGTGATTTGACACAAGCTGGTTCCCGCCTGTTGCTGATATTTGATCTCCGTGAGAGGTTGTGGCTTAGGTGTCCTGTGGTACCTGAGCACTGCTCTGACTGACTTGCTGCTCTGGGCCATGTTGTGAGCAGCAGCTGTGAGCTGTGCCCTTGCCGTTGCTGCACAGCATTGCTGTTGTTCCTCTGTGCCTCTGTCATGTAATTGCTCAACCCCTTAGCCTTCTTCCCCTCTCCTCTTTCTACTGGCATGGCCATGCATCCTCTTCTTTGATACCTACAGTGGGCAATTCTCCACTGTGCTTGCAGTGTTGGGCAGACAATACTTGCTCTGTGGGCTGCTGTTCCTCCTGTTCCAGAAGAGCTCATTAGAGCAGGAGGCTGCCAAATGCCAGAACGTGCTGGAAGCGTGGGTGAAGGGATTCAGATGGAGCCCCACTAAGCAGTGGGGTATGCAGTGTATGATATTGAGATGAGTTGATAAATGAGATTTCTTGTGCAGAAATCACAGGTTAGGAAAAGAGGTAGTTTGTGGTTGTAGAACCAGGAGGGTGTGCTCTGAAACATCCCCTCTTACTGGCATTCATATGTGTGCCTGGCACTTTTCTCTGGCAGAGCTCTCCCTAATAACCTGTGGGTTACTGATATGGAGAAATGGGAATCCCTGTTGCCTTTGAGGGCTGAACTTCCTCTTCACACATCTGTTCATGTTTTACCACAGTTATTTTAAAGATGTGAAGTCTTAGGAGGTTTCTTCTACTTAAGTAAAAAGGTGTAATTTCTTCCTTGATGTCAGTCTTTGGAAGTAACGTAACTTTGCTTCATTTAATCATATCAACATACACTCAGGGTTTAATTATGAAGCCTAGTGACACACACTGAAATCATCCTCCAGTCTGAAGTTCTAGTTCCAACTTTGTTTTGCAACAAATGTTTTAGAGCATCCCTTTTACAATGATCATAATTCCTGCAACATAACTGGAAGAAAACAAAATCTCATAAATTCCTTGGTACAATCCAAAGTTTGGTTTCTTCATTCTAGGTGAAATTTTGTATGTATCTACTACAAGAACAGGATTGGTTGTCTTCTGTACTGAAACTGTCTTGCAGTTAAAACCTGTGTATATTCATGCATAAAAAATGTTAGTTCTGTTATAAATGCTTGGCTAGAAATGTCAGATTTGGGTTGTGTGGTTTGTGGGGGTTCTTTTGTTTGTTTTGTTTCTGAGGGATTTTTAACCTGTAATGTTGGGAAATTGTAGGGAACAGAAGGATAGTTATGTACAGGTCTAGGCTGTTAAGCTTTGAGTTCTATGGAATTGTCAAGGTTTTAATCAGCTTGGCTTCTTAGCATGTGGAAATTGAACTGAAAATCATATGACTATGGTGAAAAACCAAGAAACATTACTGCATTATTAGGAGGGCTAAGTAAATTGATTAAGTTTCCCTGAAGTAATTTTTAGTGGTGTTGCTGCTTTTAGTAGTTATGTTTAAATATGACGCCTCAAAGATCACAGAACCAACTAGGTTGGAAAGACCTCTGAGATCGAGTCCAAACTATGACTGGACACCACCCTGTCAACTAAACCATGGCACTAAGAGCCACATCCAGTCTTTCCTTAGACACCTCCAGGGATGGTGACTCTACCACTTCCCTAGGCAGTCCTTTCATTGGAATCACTCTTTCTGTGAAGAACTTCTTCCTAATGTCCAACCTAAACCTTCCCTGGTGCAGCTTAAATCTGTGTCCTCTTGTCCTGTTCCTGGTTGCCTGGGAGAAGAGACCAACCCCCACCTGGCTATAATCTCCTTTCAGGGAGTTGTAGAGAGTGATGAGGTCTCCTCTGAGCCTCCTCTTCTCCAGGCTGAACAACCCCAGCTCCCTCAGCCTCTCCTCATAGGACTGGTGCTCCAGTCCCTTCACCAGCCTTGTTGCTCTTCTCTGGATCTGCTCCAGCACCTCAATATCTTTCCTAAACTGAGGGGCCCAGAGCTGGACACACTACTCAAGGTGCAGCCTAACCAGTGCTGAGTATAGGGGAAGAATCACTTCCCTAGTCCTGCATTGTTACAGTGCACTGGAAGGTTTGGAAGTACTAAACCAAGCTCACTTTTTTTGTAGTTTTAACAGAGTCTGTCTCAGCTGAACAAAGACTTAAAGTGCCATTCCTCTGAGCTGGTATCAAAGTCTAAAAAGAATAATATTGTGATAGTCACATTTTAAAAGATCGTTCTGTTTTTTTTCCTTATTCCCACCGTTGCCTCTAGTGGGATATTTAGCTGCTCATTCACTATTATTAGCATTATTATTTTTACTCTTATGATCACAATGCCTAAAAGCCTCAGCTATGGAGTGGGGTTGTCAGCAGGCAAGCTAATGTATGAACAACAACAAAAAAATCTCTGTCCTGAGGAACTTAAATCCTCTTTCAAGAGAAGATGGAGGTCAATGCACATACTTGGGAATTAGAAGTGTGAGGAAAATGAGAGAATGTTTGTCAGCATCATTGTTGATGAAATTAAGCACATCAGCAACTTAGTCATCATTAAGTGGTTTGGGGGCCTTGCAATGAAAGGGTTTTAAGGGGAAGGGTTGTGCTATGTCTTTGCTAACTTAAGCATTGAAATTTACTGCTGTGTGAAGTTGTTGCAAGAGAGAAGTCATGATTGTCTCTGTTAAAACTGAGAAGGTGGTTTTTGGAGCTGATATAGGCAAGAAAATGGAAGGCAGCTCATTTTGTGTGTAAACAGGCAATGAACTAGGAAAATTCAGCAACATCCTGGGAATCTGTTAGTGTGACAAGGTTACCTGCACTAAGGCCAGACAAGGGGAGAAGAGAAGAAACCTTGCACTCAGATGTGGAGTGATGAGAACCTAGACGCAAATTTTATCCATGAGCGCAGGAGGAAAAGGCTGCGAGGTATTGTGTGAAAAGGCTATTCAAGACATTTGGCTGGATAGGAGAACTTGAAGTGAGCCCTGAGTCAAATGCCACATCTGGGCTATGGCTTTGATGTCAGAAATATGTGGCAATAGCGTCTGCAGCTGTCAGGGAAGCTTGAGTTGATGGTTAGATATCCAAAACTTATTAAATGGATAGACCATAGTTATGTTTTATAATGGAGAGGAAAAAAATGCTGGAACTGGAGCTGGATTTGTGTTGTAGTTGAGAAATAATGTATGTAAAGAAAGAAATGGGGACTAGGGATAGACCTCTACTGAGTACTGAAAGAAAACTGGGATAAGGTGATGATAACAGTGATTAGCAGTGAATAGAGACATGAGCAGAAGTTTTAGACTGTTAGTGTAGAGGAAATTTCAAGAAAAAATATCAGTTTTATGCTGCTGAGAGCTCTTGTCTGGCACAGCCCAGAGCACTTGATGATCCTGCTTCAGAGGAGAAACTTTGAGTGATATCAGGTGAATGAAAGGGTCAGGAACATGAACCTGAGGGGACTAGCAGGAAGAGCACTTGATACAGTGTAAACAACCCTTTCAATGTTATGGGAGAGTTAAAAGAGAACAGGGCAGTTGGCAAGGCAGGTAGGTTCCAGCGTGGGCTGATTTTGGTACAAGCGAGGAAAATGTGACATAAAGAATCCTTCCTGCCTCCTCTGCAGGAGGAAAAGTTGATTTGAAAAGCTGTGATGCAGCATGGGCAACAAATGGTCTGTGTTTACAGTAAAGGGGAAGGACGGGAGCTTTGCAAAGCTTATGCTGACCCACCTTCCAAAACCAATTTCTCCCACAGCTGTTGGTCTGCAGGTATTGTACAATTATTACTAAATTAAATGACTGCTATTAGAAGGCATTCATTGTGGGGTTTTCTGTTTTTCTTTTGTCCAGCACTGGTTCACGGAGCTTCCTCCTGTCTTAACTTTTGAGCTGTCAAGATTTGAGTTTAATCAGGCTTTGGGGAGACCAGAGAAGATACACAACAAATTAGAATTTCCTCCAATTTTGTATCTAGACAGGTACAGTATAATATTATCAACAAAATTCCAGTATGAATATAAATTAAATCTCATGAGTTTGTTAAAGTTGATGATGTATCTTATGCTCACTTAAATCACAGTAAATTTCTGTTCTCGCTGTACAAGTTAGAGTTTTCATGGGTTTCATCTGTTTCAGAAAGTACACATAGATAAGAATTTAAGATATACTGCTGTTTTCTGTGAAAAACCTTCTTCCACTTCCATTTATTGCTAGATAGCTGTGTACACAGGCAAAATACTCTGAAAAATCACACTATTTATGGGTCCCTTTGGTAAAGAGGATGACAAGTCAGCTATTTCATGGTGTTCCAGATAGTCTGCATGGTTTGAAGAGTATCCTGGGCATCAGTGCAATGCTGTTGATGTGTAGAGGTGAAATACCAGGATGGATTTCAGTTAGCTGCTGAATGCTATTTAGGAACCTAAATAATGAAACAGGAGTATTGGTATGTGGTTGCTACGTAAACCACTTCAGAATCTAATAGCAGCTTTCTAATACATGTTTGTCCTTCATACATGTTTGTCCTGCATGGTATGAACAGAGCTTTCGACACCGGGGAGAAAGCACCTTCTGAAAGTTGTGGAAGGGAAGGTTTAATGGTTTATTTTTGTCTCAGTTCTGTTATAGTGCTGAATATATTGTAGGTTCTAGAGCATGTGAGGTTTTATTAGCACTAAGCATTAGTGATTATGGCTGGTGGGTACAGACCTCAGTTCCAGTGTTGGGATACTACGGGCTGACACTTCTTTCTAAATTTCATGTTTTACAGGTATATGCACAAAAACAGAGAAATAACAAGAATTAAACGAGATGAAATCAAGAGACTGAAAGAGTACCTCACAGTTTTACAACAGAGATTAGAACGGTACTATAGATAACTGTGTAAATAGTATTATAGGCTACATAGAATAACTCTTCTTAACTACAGACTTTGTGTAGTTATTTACTCTAGATTTCCCTTCTGTATCTCTTTTCTTTTAATCTTTTCCTTGTAAATTGTGTATAACCATTGTAATTCTGATGCATGAAACATGCTAGGAAAGGCTTGCTTTATTTAATTGCAGTCAACCAGAAAAAAAATAAATCTTTTTTTTTTCTTCTTTCTTTTTTTTTCTTTTTTTTTTTTTTTTTGGTGTATATGTGAGTCATGGCATTAATACGTTTTATGGTTAACAGATATTTAAGCTATGGTTCTGGTCCTAAACGATTCCCCTTGGTAGATGTCCTGCAGTACGCCTTGGAGTTCGCCTCCAGCAAGCCGGTGTGCACATCTCCCGTCGATGACCTGGGTGCAAGTGCCCCTGCGAGCGGCACGGTGCCAGCCCAGACCTCACCCAGGTAAGGGTTTGCTCTGCCACTGCAAACCAGCCTCAGAGAGGGAGGCAGGAAGTTTAGCTGCCTTGTTCACCAGGTGAATAAAACTAGGCAAACTCCTAAGGGGGTATAGCGTAAAATCTCTGCTCTTTTCCCAGAAGTGCTTTTCAGCACAGCAGACTTAAATAGATAAACCTAAATGTTAATAATGTGAGTGGTTGTCTCATGCGCTTATAAAAATGTCTCTGGGTGGAGAATTTCCATTTTCAAACAAAGCCCAATTCCACCTACAATTCCGAATAGACACAGTATCTGGGGAGGTCACTGCTTCCTAAGAGTATTGTTTAAGAATTGGGCAGTGTGTATGTGCTGCTGGTGTACAATTTATCTGTTAATTTCTGCCTGGGAGTTAAGCTCCTTTTCTGCTTTGCAATTTACACTTTTCATCAAGTTTGTCAGGAACTTAACAGTCTGACTTTTTTTAATGCAGAGTAGCTAAAGTATCAGGCAGAGAAAGATTCAATAATGTTGGTTTTCTCATTATTTAAGCTAGGAACTCAGTATTGGGGATCGGGTGCACCCTCAGTTTGCAGATGACACCAGTTTGGGTGGGAGCATTGAATCTGCTGGAGCGTAGGAAGGTTCTGCAGAGGGATCAGGCTGGATCCATGGGCTGAGGACAATTATATGAGGTTCAGCAAGGCCAAGTGCTGGGTTCTGCACTTGAGTCACAGCAACCCCCTGCACTGCTACAGGCTGGGGGAAGTGTGGCTGGAAAGCTGCTGGGCAGAAAAGGCCGTGCTGATCAGTAGCAGCTGAACATGATCCAGCGTGTGCCCAGGTGGGCAAGAAGGCCAAAGGCATCCTGGCCTGTATAGAAATAGTGTGGCCAGCAGGACCATCCCCCTGTACTGGGCACTGGTGAGGCTGTACCTCAAATCCTGTGTTCAGTTTTGGGCCCCTCGCTGCAAGTAAGACATTGAGGTGCTGGAGCGAGTCCAGAGAAGGGCAGCAGAGCTGGGCAAGAGTCTGGAGCACAAGTCTGATGAGCTGCTGAGGGAGCTGGGGGTGTTTAGCCTGGAAAAAAAGGAGGCTCGGGGGGACCTGATTGCTCTCTACAACCACCTGAAAGGAGGTTTCACCTCCTGAAGCTCCTTTCAGGTGGTTGTAGCCAGATGGGGGTCAGGCTCTTCTCCCATGTGACAAGTGATAGGACAGAAGGAAATGACCTCAAGTTGTACCAAGGGAGGTTTAGGTTGGATATTAGGAAAAAATTTCTTCATGGAAAGGGTTGTCAAGCACTGAAACAGGTTGCCCAGGGAAGTGGTGGAATCACCATCCCTGGAGGTATTTAAAAGGCATGTTTATGTGGCACTCAGCGATATGGTTTAGTGGTGGAGGTGGCAGGTGCTGGGTTAATGGTTGGATTTGATGGTCTTAGGGGTCGTTTCCAAACTAGATGATTCTATGATAGAGTATAACTTTGGTTAGGTGGACACTAACGGTTTATAACATAGCTTTTTATATTACATTTGGAAAATAGGGGTTTGGGTTCTGGTTAACTTTGTAGTACAAGGAAATAAAGTACATGTATCTAAAAAGACTTCAAAAAGATTTCAAATGTCCTATTGTAGAAATGACGATGACTGATAAGAGAAGACAAACTTCTAAAAGTTACCATTGCTTGCATGAAATACAATATCGAAAGTAATATACTTTGTTCAAACTCCTATGTAGGAATTTTGTTCTGTAAAAATGTAAGCCTTGTGACTTTTTTTTGTCAATCTGTAGAAACACCACAACATGTTATATAGAGTGACATTTTCAGCTCTTAATATTCTCAGAACTTTGTAAACTACTGAAGAATCCAGGTTCCTCAGGCTATATCATGATGCTGTACCCAAAGTAAAAATTCAGTGGCTTGCAAGAAACATCTTCAGATTCCTGTTATGCAGTGTAATTATATATAGGTGGTCTTGTTGATGAGAAGAGAAAAATCTGTAACAGGTTTTAATTTTTATTATTCTGCTGCTCTTGTAGAGTTCTCCTAAGATGGCTGCTCCTCAGTTTGAGTTGTTTGGAACAAATTTAGATGGGTTGGTACTCAATTCCCAATGTACTGTAAATATCAGAGGTCCCTTCATTGTTGTTGTTCAGTTAACATGAGTTGTAGGTAGGTGATCAGAAAAAGAATGTCTGCTAGGCATAGGACACACAAAGTTATTCAATGGAGAATTTGTGTTTATTGGATTTTATGGTCAGTGGGCCATAAGACAAGCTGCTGTGATTTTTCTCTGTGCCATTTGGCAGTAAATGTTTCAAACCACAGTGATTACGTGTATATTGTGATTTGAAAGTGTTTTAGTAGCATTTCAAGTGAAGCAAACTATGGCTTGACCGATCCAAATCTCATTCCTTTATGTTTGGTAATGGCAGTTGTTGTTTTGCTAACATGTAGTGCACCACAGAGTTTTCAGAATTTACACACTAATTCCATAGTGATATTGTAGGTACCTTTCCTGAATTGCACTGTAGGAAAATATTACCTTTACAATTTCTGTTTTCAGAGGAAAAGCTTATTTTTGTGCTGTAGCTTTCAGTTTGTGCACATGATGATTCAGTTTTTGTATTTCATGTTTTGAATGAATGCAGCACAATAGAGCAGCAGGGGCCTTCCTCTTCAGATGTTCCAAGCACATCTCCTGTACAAAGATCAGTAATACATAAACCATTCACGCAATCACGAATTCCTCCTGATCTCCCGATGCATCCGGCACCAAGGCACATCACTGAGGAGGAGCTGTCTGTCCTGGAAGGCTGTTTGCATCGCTGGAGGACCGAAGTAGAGAATGACACTAGAGGTAATGCCACGAGCTGGGGAATGCACTTGCCGTTGGAAAACATTTGGGCAAGGAGGGGGAAATTTTTCATCCAAGAACGTTTATTGTTTGGCACGTGGGTAGATCAGTGTGCACCACATTGAAACATATCTGTGTTTGGCTTTTAGTGACATAAAATAAAGATGTAGCCACGTGCAATTATGCAGCCTTATGGAAGAGAGGTTCTTTTTCTCTTTCAGATTTACAAGAAAGTATATCTAGAATACACCGGACAATTGAATTGATGTACTCTGACAAAACAATGGTCCAAGTAAGTACAGTTTCAGCATGAGATAACTGAAAATAGATCCTTTTTGTCAATTTTTGAAAGTTCTTAGATGCTTGAAAATGGAGCAAGTATACCATGATTACATAGAGCTTTGAGATTTGCAAACACTTTAGTTGTGCACAGTCAGATGGAAGACAGCATTGCAATATTTTACAGGTGACATGCTTAAGTTTAAGCACCTTTATGATGAAAAACCAAAATATGTTCCATCTCTGATCCATTTTTTACTTGAATGCAGATTCATGCAATAAGGTTCTTTTTGTCCTGATTTGACCATATTGCTAGGTAATCTTGTGGCATTAAGGTGGCAAAGCATTAGATACAAGAAACTATTATTTTTGTACTTTGCTGCTTAGTGAGTGTCTTTATTATTGCAACTTCCATGCTAATACTTGGGAATTCAGGCTCCTGATTGTGATTTGTAGTTATTAATGCACGTCAGTGGTTTTGTTGTTGTTTTGCTATTGTTAGATTTTTAAAACACTGGTTAGATTTAGTATCAGTCACAACCTTGATTATTAGTCTAAGCTGCCCTTCAGGAAATTCTCATGTTGTGTAATCTGAACAGCGTTTTTAGAATGCTTTACTATGGAGTTATGGCTCCTCTGCCATTTCTTATGTTCACATACTCATGTTCTCTCACTCTGACAGGTTTTAAGGTTAAGGATTACTTCCTCTGTTACTTTCTGTTAGTAAAAAGAACTATTTTCGTTCCAAGTAAGATCTGTTCAGCTTACAGTTTTCCTTGAGGTATGTTTTCATTTTGTACATGGCTTGTAATATTTCCTGGCAGCTGAGCTCTGATGTTAAGGATTTCAGGCAGACTTGCCCAGATGACTTTCTTTAAGCTTGCTACTTGCAGGCACTTTTTTTTTTCCTTAATACTTGTGTTATAACAAGAAGGTTACGTGTCATCCAACAGTAAAATTAAGTAATTTGGTAACACTGTATGCAAGTAGTCTACCTGTGTTGGCTTAGGTGTTATAGGAGGAAATACCTCTGGATGGCAAAGGTAGTAGTCAGCTGTCATTACAGAAGAAAAAGGAGATTACTTAGTAAAACATGAAGTAGGTGCTGGACCCATCTGAAATCACAGGCTGGAAGCAAAGTTTTTGTCCCATGGGTGTTTTGGCACAATAGGAAGGAGGCAGGTGCACACAATCCACTTTTCCTTGCCCATCTACATCTGGGTGATTTGATAGCTGGGTATTGCTCTATTCTCTGGGATAAGTTTCACAGTATCGATGTTTTCCCCTGCACAATACAGTTGCTGAACTGAAAGCTTTTCACTTGTAAGTCATGTTCTAGGCACATAAAACTGGACAATTTTTAAGACAAACGTATTATATTTGCAGGATACTTCCTAGTGCTTGTATGAACTATTTGAGAAGCTCTTCATCTTCTCCTTGTGACCTCTTTTGAGTCTAAGGAAAACTACAGTCGTCCTAAAACCTTTGTCAAGTTTTCATATGAAATACGTTCCTGAAATTTTTATTTTATCTTGGTCTCCTGAATCAATGGCTCATCAGCTGCTTATTTAATTATTTCTCCCCTTCCATGAATTTGCTGTGGGGAAATGACACAACAGTTTTTCCTGTGGGAGTTTATCTTGGATACAGCAGCTTTGACATATCTATTCTGTAGTGAGAGGTGGGTTGGTGAAGCTCCATTCCTGTTTCATGAGTACTCAGTGTAAGCTAAGAAGCTTAATGCTCTGTACTATTAATTACTGTTGATACAATGGCTTATCACAAGAGACCTCTGTCAGCACTGATCTCACCTGTACACTGGTCACAGACCTTTGTGGGGAACCTTCCTGGAAGCTCAGTGTGGGCAGCTGGTTCTCCAGAGCTGGAGGAAATGTTAGGGGCCCTCAAGCTGACCCAGTTAGCGTGGTTTTAAGTAAAATGTTTTAAATTCACCTGGGATTTTTAGTGCCTGATTTCAGGGTGAGGAATTTTATTTTGTTAAAGTCTATAGAGAACTTAATTTTTTTAAAAATCAGGATATGCATATATTTTTGTGAATATACATGGACTTGCAATCATTTTAAGAAGGCTTTCACACTGGTTTAATAACAGATGTTAAAACCCCCAGAGCATTTAGATTTAAGGACTTGCCAGGATTTCTTCTGTGTATACTTCTTGTGTTTGGGAGATTTAGAGTGCAGTTTGGTCTCTGGAATGACAGGCTGTTTGATTCCAGCTGCTGTGCAGTCAGTCAGCTTTACAGTTCAAGGGGGTTTGCAAAATCTCCAGCCCTTGCATATAGCATGGAACAGAATGATCAGGTTAAAAGTGACTTCAAGGAGTTTCTCAAGGCAGAGTTATGTGTGTATTTATGGTTATTGATTGTTGAGGTACTCAAATGATATTTGCAACAAATACGTAGTACAGACGTAACCTGGAATACTTTTTACATCGTTCCTAGAAACTGGTATCTTCCTTCTTTGCTGCAGGAGGAGGAGAGGACATCTTCGGGTGATCCATGCTTTTACGTGGCAGTGCCTTTACTGATACATTTACAATACCAGAAAACAGTTGTATTCCTATTTTACTGTAGTAATTTTACCTTTAGGTAACAGAAGTATTCAACTCTCAGATATTCCTTTAATAAACTCTCTTAATGGCACATAGAAAGAACAAGAGTTTATTACCTTGAATTTGCATGTGCCTTTCCAGACTTTTTGACGGGTTTACTAGGTCAGAGCTGGAGCAAATCACAGACAGTCAAGGCTGACATATTTGAGAGGTTTTTGTACAAGGAAGGTAGGAATATTATGGAATTAAGAAAAAAGGGAGTCAGCAGTAAAGACAGCCGAGTAGACATTTATGCTACTCACTAATGTTTTTAAGATCTCCTGTAACTAGTAGTGGTAAGTAACATAATTCAAAGTCCTTATGCTTAGTGGTTTGCTAGTTTTACTTGTTTGTGTTTCCTCTGTGTTGTTTTGATTCTGTTTAACTTTATTTTTGTTATTTTTATTTAATGTAGCTATTATTGCTGGCATACATTAGGAACCAACTGCTGGCAAACAGAGTTTGACATTTGGGTTTTTTTCTGTTTTCTTTTTTTAAGGTTCCTTATAGGTTACATGCTGTGCTAGTTCATGAGGGTCAAGCAAATGCAGGACACTACTGGGCGTATATTTATGACCACCACCAGAACAGATGGATGAAATACAATGACATTTCTGTGACAAAGTCAACGTGGGAAGAGTTGGAACGGGACTCCTTTGGTGGTTACAGGAATGCCAGTGCATATTGTTTAATGTATATCAATGATAAGGAACAATACTTGATACAAGGTAATGTTATCAATATGGGTTCTGCATGGTATAGAATAGCTAAATACATCGATAAAGTGAGCTTCTCTCACATGGATTTCCAGATTTTTTCAATGTTTTTAATAATTATTGAAAGTTTTATTTCTGCTCATAACTGTTAGATTATTTTTGTAGGTAGAACAATTGCTTTTCAACTTCTAGATTAATAAAGATAATGCCAGTGTTTCAACATTATTAAGAGATTAAAATAAACTATACGTTTGCTAATTTGCAAACATTTTAGCCAAGTCATTGCATGCCCAGAATTCATTAGAACAGAAACATGGAAATAGATAAATGAACATTTTACATTAAAATCCTCATGTAGCTGCCTTTTTTTTTTTGCCTTTTTTTTCCTTAAGCTTCAGAGCTCTGATGCACTCTGTTGGAGCATGGAAACTTGAAAGCTTATGCAGTAAATTGAAATGTAAATAACTTAGCCCCTAACAACCACACATTAAACCTGAGCAATACATGGATTGGGAAATTTTTTTTCAGGACATGTAGTAAAATGCAACTATAAGGCCTCGTATGGAAGTGTTTGAAGAGGGGACAAAGATCCCTTTAGCATGAATTTTATAATAATGGTAGCCAGGGAGCTGACTGTGAAAATGTCCACAGATGCAATAATAGGTTGGGGAAAATTTTCATGCTCCTGTCTTTTCTTAGGGCAGGAGGCTTGAGTGCTCATTTGTTCAGTTTTTAAAGGAGAACTGATATTAAGCATGACATTCCTAGATTGCCAGATTGGTAGTGGACTTGCAGCCATGGGGTCTGTGGGCCCTGTAGCTGCTCTGCCACTCCAGTTAAGTCTGAGGGCTGCTCACTGTGGGACAGTTACAGCTGATTGATCTCCTGGGGTCTGGGATACCCCTGCAGACACCATTCTCCAAACAAAAGGGAAGGTTGCTCAGTGTAGCTAGTGTTCCTATCAGTTGACTTTCCAAATCCCTGTAGGCCCACTCTCCTTCCCCTTTTTCCTTGGGAAGTTCAGTTGTGTCCATCTCTGTGTGGCTGCAATGCAATCGAGTGATGGTGGGGGTTTCGTGACTTTTTTTTATGAATGTTCACAGTCACAGGTGCTCGTGGCCCAAAAGGCTTATTTTTCAAGGTGTCAGTGGTCTGATAGTGCCCAAGAATGTAAAATCCAAAGATCACAGGAGCAGTAGCCGTATGTTTCAGTAGCAGAGGAGTGCCCAACAGATAGTAAAACCAGTTAGAAGTAATATAGTTTGGGGGTTTTGGTGTTACACTGTACATTTTCAGTAATTCACTTGAGGAAATCTGTTGAACATACTTTGTTTTCCCTGTTCTTTCTTTTTCTGAAACTTATATTTCATGTTACTGCAGAGGAGTTTAACAAAGAAACGGGGCAAATGCTTGTTGGAATGGACACGCTACCTTCTGATCTAAGGGATTATGTCAAGGAAGACAATAAACGTTTTGAAAAAGAACTTGAAGAGTGGGATGCAGAACTTGCTCAGAAAGCACAGCAGGAGAAGTTGTTATCTCAGATACCCAGGGCACCAGCACCCTCACCTGCTCCAGGTTAGCTGCTTCTACCTGTTTGTAAAAGGACGAGGACCAAAAGTCACTGGGTTTTGTATATATTGTTTTACAGCTTAACAACAAAAAAGAAGTTAATTTTGTAATCATGAATTACAACTGTTCACTTGGCCAGAGTAACTGTACTTGAGGCTCAGTCTGGGGGTTTTTTGCATTTCATTTTTTATTTAAAGAAAAAAAAAGCTGTTGGTTCATCTGCCTTTTCCCTCCCAGTTATCTTTAGCTTTATTTTTTTTTCATATAAACTCTGACCTTTTAAGACAAGTAATTATTAATTATTAACAGGTCTCACCAGTCTGTTTTGAGAATTTGTTAGTCTGTAAGTGATGTATATTCTTCTATTCAGCATGATTGGGTACCAGACTTATGTTCTCATTTTAAATTAAGACAGAATTTAGATACAAAGAGAAGAATAATTTATTTGGTGTGGTGCATTGAGTAGATTTAGCAATAGCAGGGCCCACTTAAGATTTTACTATGTAAAAACAAGGGTGTTACAATTATGGAAAAGACTCTGACCAGCAACAGTGAGGCCAATGATTTGTAGTGAGGCTGCTGTCCAGATGTTTTCATTGCTTCATTGGAGTTGTTAAGACTGAGCATATATTTCTCATAACTATCTGTGACTGCAAACTGAATTTACAAAGTGCAGTGATTTAATGACATTGCTTGTTTTGTGAACTCTGCGGAGAGTTACTTTATCTTCTGTATGTTTTGAGTTCGCAAACACTTTGAGACTGGTTTTTGTTCTTTTGTTAATTAATGGAAAGTACAAAATGAATGTTTTATTTGCCTGCCAAAATTTGGTTTCGTCATGTAAGGAATATAAGACAATATTTATGCTAATCAATTTATTGCCCCCAAGTGGAAGAGATTTTGAGATATCCCTTAAGGCAGATGAACACATTGTGTTTATTATTTTACAAAGTCAAAATACATCTGGCATTCAAGTGTCTGTAGGTCATTCCATATATTGAGTCTGTATCCCACAGAAAGTTCAAGTAGAATCTCCTCTTTGTTCTTGGTCACCCCTGATGATCGATTGATGAACACCCCTCACTCAAGAGCCTTAATGGGTTTATAGACAGGATGGGTCTGTTGTTACTAATATAAAATCAGGGATCCATTTATAGGGAAGTGTTCAAAATGACACGAGACACAGACTGCTGTAAAATTGAATTTGTGAATTGTGTGACCTACCCTGCATTTTCTGTGTGCTTACCTTATCTGTGAGACAGTGATCCAAACAAAAACTAATCAATTCAAAATTCATGCTGATGTTAACACACAAAATTATCTTATTTCTCTCACTAAGTTCAAGCAGGAGAACCAGAATATTTAGAGCAGCCATCAAGAACTGATATTTCAAAGCACTTAAAAGAAGATTCTGTACAAGCAATCAATAAAGCTTTAGCTGAACAAGAAGATAGAGGTCCAGAAGCTATAATGGATACGGTGAGGATATTTTGAAGCTTGAAATACTTCTTTTGCTTTTATTTTGCAAATGGAAATGATAAAAGCTGACTAAAGGGTGTGTGTCTGGAAACTTTGAACTGAAATTGGTCTTTCTTCAGGGATTGTCCAAACTGAAGTCCATTCAGAAAGTGTGTACAACAGTAATGAATGTGGGGCAAAAAAGAAATACTAAATACAAGTTCTCTATGGGATTAAAGTGCTTGTCAAGAGTACAGCCTATTGTTCAAATTAAAATCAGATGTTTGTGCTCACAGTCTTCTAAAAATATTAGATGGTTCCATGTATTTTTGAGGAGAAAATATTGACAGTCCGTGTAAAAGACTTGAAAAATACTGCTTTAGACATTGAGGTTTTTGTCTGTGAAATATAAGATTATAATTTAGTTCCCTTGAAATACCTGTGGCAGTTAATGCAGCTTTCAAAAATAAGGGTTTTTTCAACAATATACTGTAGCTTTATGCAGATTCACAACTTCATGAAAATTACTTTTTGTGATTCATAGGATGCATATATTAACTTTAAATGGTGATAAGAATTAGTGTTGGGTGATTCTGTTTTCACTTCATACAAAAAATACTAAGAGGAATGGGACATTATTTTATGGGTTCTTAATGAAACTAGTATTTAACAGTTTTTTCTTCCAGCAATTATTTTTTTTGCTTCTCTATAAGTAGATGACCACAAAACCAAGGGTCATTAAAACAATACATGCATCCGTCTTGAAACTGTATCCATAAGGATAAGACATAAGAAGTATACTTTCCTTAGGCACCCCTAGTGACCACTAGAGATATGAACAGTTTAGATCTCTGCAGAATTTGAAGCAGATGGTTCAGGTACGAACCCTCATTAAACAGCAGCAGATCTAGCCATAGATATCTTTGGGGCCAGCAGGAAGTCCTCTTAAAGCCTTTGAAAATTGTTGACAACTTGTTGACCTGCTGTGTTTTCCACTCCTCTCTCCTGTGGTGTCAGGAAAGCAGGGAAACACACTTTCTCTGCTAAACTGAAATCAGAGTTAACAGGGAGACTGATCTAACCCTTGATGAAAAGATGCTCTGCCACTAATCCTTTAGGCTACTGTATCTCTGATTTTTTTTTTTTTGAGTTCTCAGAACCCAGAACAGTTTAGGGGGAGCCTGTTTAATATGATTTACCTCCAGCTGAAGGGGTAGCTGTGCAGTTACCAAGCCCATGATAAAATGTCTTTCATAATGCTGTCCTTTTTCTAGGGTTTGTGGGCATCCATCCCAGTGGGATGTGAAAGAATCTTACAGACTTATGCCATGGATCAAGTGTTTTAGTTCAGGATAATGACACCTTGCACAGTGGTCAGCCTTAGGGCTTCACAAAGCTGTGGTTGAGGAACCACATGGGAACACCATGATAGTCTTGATGAGGCAGATGCAGGTTGTATTACTGCAGTATTTTCCCTGCAGCAAGATGGATGGCTCTTGAAAAATATAAATGAAAAAAAACAAACCATGCAAACTCTTTTATTTAAAAACTACTGTACTTCAACTGTTATAATCTAAAGCAAATTTCTAGCTAATCTGAAGGTGCTATGTTAATGTTTTAAAGCTGCTCTCTGTATACCCAAATTTCACTTAGTGGAATTGTGCTTCCTTCTCAGTGTATCAGCATGCTTTCTAATTATTCTACTTCCACGCAACCATATATTCCATTCTTCCTCTTTTTGTTTCTCCATTTTTAAAAGAAGGAAAGCCAACATCAGAATATGTAACCTACAAGATTGTAGGTTAGTCATCACATGTTCATTTTGTCCATTTTCTGCCCTTCTGCCCTTTTTTTCCTGCCCTCTGATTGCACAGTTTTCCTTTGTATTTATACAGTGTTGGGTGTGAATAGATAACTGTATATTTCTGGAATCTTTGTTTAAAAAATGAGACTATTGTTATAGTTGGAGAAGTAGCATGGCACTCTGTGATTGCTTAGATGAGAGTCAAGGTTTAAGTTCTGCAAATGTTGTAAGCTGCCTATTATTCAGTGATAGACCATAGAAGCTGAGATTGTGTCCATTATTGTTTAAAACTCATTTTAACATAGCAAGAATTTCAGTGACTAGCAAAATCTTCCTCTGATTTAGTTTTTGATTACTCTTCTAAAAAAAATAAACCTGTTAATTGTAATGTACCTTTAAATATTTTTAAAATATCTTGATTGTTAGAGGTTGGTTGGTTGGTTGGTTGGTCTTTTCCCAGAGCATCAGGAAATGTTAGGCTTTGGCTTGTTTCCATCCTTTAGTATGAATTCAAGAGGTATTTCAGATATGAAATATCTGGCCTGGCCCTGTTCAAGACCAGGTTGGATGGGGCTGTGAGCAACCTGATTTAGTGGGTGACATCCTTGGAATTAGATGATCTTTAAGGTCCCTCCCAGCCCAAACCATTCTGTGATTCTGTGATACATTCAGTAATTTTGGCGTGAAATGTATAAGAAGTGGTGGTTCATAGACTCATCCTTTGTCAACTGCCTTAGATCTGTAACAGATGTTAGAGTTGCAATACTGGTATCCTAACCTGTAAAGGTATAATTAGTGATTAAAGAATGAATGAAATATTTTTAATAATTATGGCTTAACTTTAAAATGTACTGCTTAAAAATATCACTTATGTTCTCAGTTTCTTAATTTTTTCAGAATTTCAGCAGTGCACACCACTGTAGTAGATCAGCCTGTCAGTTTGCATCTTTCCGTAATTTTCCGTATTTTCTGATTATTACTTTTATTTTTTTTTCCCCCAAACACATACTGATAATGGTTTTCTTCTGCAGAGCTCTGATAATGCCCCAGCTCCACCAGCTCCTAACCAGCGAGTTGTAGAGGTGGCGATTCCCGATGTAGGGACTTTTGTGATTGAGTCAGAGGAGGGGGGTTATGACGATGAGGTACATTTGATTGCGGTTGTGTGCACCGCTCCTCCTTGGTGCTTTCTTGTGCTGCCTGATGAGAAGTTCTGGCATGTTTGCACACAGTGACACTTAACAGATTTCTGCAAAACTAAATGCTTAACGATTTGTAATCTTAACAATATATTAATTCGTAATGAAATATGAAAGGAAAGCACTACCTACTCTAATTGGGCACGCTTTGCATGGTACCGTTTACACTGGAGGTGTATTTGTCTTTTCAGCTGTGAAAGTTGAATGTTTGTGTTAGGCCAAGTAGCCTTCAAAATGCTGGTGATAGACTGCACACCGCTCCATTATTTAAAAAGTGACAGGACAGTGAGTGATGTTCTTAATGTTTGTGCTTCTGTGTCAGTCCAGTAAAGCCAATGTTCAAGTCTGATCTCTTATTTGCCAAGGTTAAGCTTTTCAGGCTTTGGGGATTAAATTATCCGTGGAAATAACCTGAAACTGATGTGGCTGGTGGAGCTGACTCTTGCAAAGCTTAAAAAAAAAAAAAAAAAAATTCTTTTTTTACAGGTCAGGCCCAGGGTGGTGCAGGTACCTGGTACTACTTGAGGAATAAACGAGAAGCCAGTTGTTATCCTGAGAGACATTATTTTTTGCTGCCCTATTTTAGCAGTAAAAAGGAACATTAAACTGCCCTGCCTTGACACTGCCTACTCTGTGAATATTTTGGTTGGGGTTAGTGTTGGGGCAGCCCATATTCTCAGGTGTCTGAGCATGTGTTCTTGGGGGGCTCTGGGGAGCTTTAGCTTCCCTAGGCAAATGGATATTTCAGGTCATTCTGCCCTGGAATTGTGATCAATTGTAACTGGGATTATGGGGTAGGGAGTAAAATTATTTAATTGACATCATCACCCTGAGTTTGGCTTCTCACAGATGTGTAGTCTCCACCTTTAAAGACATGAGGATTTAACCTCATATAGTGACCTGCTTTTTTGTTGGTTTTCTCTCCTTTTTTTTTTCCACTGTTGTCCCCATGCCATTGTCTTTTTAGAGGAAAACTTTCTTGCTTATTTCCCTGTTCATTTTGTAAGTGTGTTCACTTTTTTTTTTTTTAAATGTTTTTATGTGTGGGGAAACTCTTGCAGGGAGTTTCAGGTTCTTCATCTTTTCTTGCTATGCCAGTTGCTGTACCAGCTATACCAAGGAGAGAGGGAGAGTTTTTCTTTGCTCACAGTTAACAAAGGAGAAAGGCTTTTCAGAGTAACCTAAATGTCTCAAATTGTATGTAACTGATGTGAATAGCTGTGAGATATGTGTCTTATGTTTGGCTTTGTGTTCGTTAATTGTTTTGGGTTTGATGTTTAAGAATTTGTCTGCAAATGCTTCAGGAAGCAATTGCACTTGTAGCAATGAATGAGTCTCTGATTTTGATGTTGAAATATGCATAAAATACAGGAAGTGTGGTTTACTGTGGTTTTAGTGTAGTGTGATTGGATGATTTTTCTACTTGAAACTTTTTTTTTTTATAAATCCTTTGGCCATGGGTAGCACTCATTCAGTGTGCAGTTTCTGCTGGATACTAATGCTGAACGATGCATGTTCCTTTCCTGGGAAGTTTGGACCATGTAACTTTTTTGACACAGTTTTCTTCAATTTTTTTTAATAAGATTCCTTTGATATTGTTACAGTAAAACTATATACACATGCCGTGATTTGATTTGCAGAATATGCACACCTGATCTGTATTGAATTGTGGCATTTCAGTGTATGCATGCATTAAGTTGCTTTTTTTCTTGCATGAGACTAAAAGCAAATTGAATTTGGTCATTGAAATAATAATCATTCAAAACTTTTACCTTAAATCCCTTGTGGCAGGTCATGCTGACCCCGAACATGCAAGGTATTATCATGGCTATAGGTAAAGCCAGGAATGTTTATGACAGGTGTGGGCCAGAAGCAGGGTTCTTTAAGGTACAACTAACATTTTCAACTTTTTCTCCTCTGACTTTTCTTGTTAGATATGCTACTCCCTCTACCCTTTGATGTATATTAAGTCTTTTCTAGCATCTATACATATTTGTCTATATCAGTCATCCATTTAGATATTTCTCCCTTGAAAAATAGACAAATATTTGCCCTGTTCATTTCAGTAGCTTATATACCTTTCTGCATTTTAGCTTTCTAGTAATAGTAGTGAGGAAAATAATAGTAACGTGAAACCTAGATATGTAATCAATAGGAATATATTCCCCTCCCCTCCTTTTAGTAACTTGACTTTTGGGACATCAGTTTTTTCACCCAGGGAAATTAGTGTTTAATCATTTGTTGTTTATTTTTAAAAGATGTTCTTGTTTAATACTCCTTAAAAGATTTTTAAAAAATCTAAATTACTTTCTTTTGTATAACTGCATGGATGTCAGTACTATTTATTATAACATTTTTTATTACTGGGAATTAGACATTAGGCTTCTTGTGGTTATTGCTCTTCACAATGATGCCAGATTTAAAAATGTGTTCGTTTTCTTAAATACACAAACTTCTGAGCACTTTTAGCTCGTAGTCTTTTCAGGGTATTAGAAATGGAATTACTTTGACATGATGTAAAATCCTCTCAAATGTGATCTGGAGAGGAGGAAGAAGTTTCTTGCCTGTTATTGAGTAGCAGCCTGTTTTCTTCTTAATTGTTATGATGTAGCTCCACTAGAAGAAACTGTCAAACCCCAAACCCCCCAACAAACAACAGCCAAACAAACAAAAAAACCCCTACCACCGCCACCAAAAGGTTCTCCAACCCCTTGGTAAGGAAATTTGAAATCTTGTGGGTTGGTTTGTTTGTCTGTTTGTGTGGGGGTTTGTAATGGATACTTAAAGAGGGGTTATGACCATAACATATGTTTGCAGGGTTGTCTCTGTTAACTGTGCCTGCCCTCAGGGAATGGAGAGACACCTGCTATAGCCTCTGTTCAGTGAAATGGAGTTAGTATGGGATTCAGTGCTGGTTGTTTTTTGGTTTATTTTTCAAACTTACTACTTAATGAAAATATGTCAGTATTTTTTTATTTTTTTTAAGCTCAAAAAACCACCCTCATTTGATCAAATCGCTCCTTACCAGAAAGTTTTTGATTATACCTAGTTATTTTTTTTAATATGGAGGGTGTTTTGATAGTTTTAAAACAGAAATGTTGTTCAAAATAAAATTATATTTAGTGCTTCAGAGTTATCAAGGCAATACTCAGTTGCAATGTTTTTCAGTCTTTATCTTTGAATGCTTAAAAACTTCTGCTTCATGGGGACAGAATTTGTCTTTGAGGTAAAAAATGTTTTGACACTAAATTGTTGGAAAGTAGACAACTTTCCTTACTCATTTTCTATGGAATCATGTTTGCAATGGCTTAGAAGAGGTGGAACGTGATTAATTTTCAAAAAATGAATTAGCATGAACATAGGTTGATGAACTGATCCTACTTAGTAACAGAATTCAGGTTTTGAGATTTATCAGATGAAATCTCACATTTCTCCATAAGCTTATTGTAAAAGCTTCTGTATCTTTTAATTCTGTTATACTCTGTGTTTCTTTGTGATCGTTTTTTATGAAATCAGTGTTTTCAGAAAATTTTGGGGGTTTTCCATATCTTTGTTTTAGTGTAACTCGGGTGAAACCCCTTTGATGTGGGTTAACTGCCAAGGTAGATCTCAGGCTTAAGACATGACTAAGATTCAGATATTTCTTGGTCAATGACCTCTTCCAGTCATCCTCCTTTAAAGTTTATTGACAGCCCTTGCAGAATGTTTGCCGTGATACTTTTTTCTACCGTCCCTTTTTCCTGTATTTTGTGTAAAGAAAGTGTTACTTTTTCATTGTACATAGGGTTTCTGAACCTGTATTATACTATATTGTTTAAAATATGAATATAAAAATAGAGGCTTTGCATTGCATTTTTTCCTACGTCTCAGTAATTATATGAACAATTAAAATGTCTTAATAGCAATTTCTGTTTGCTTCTGGCCTACCTCAATAAACAGGGTTTAACTGTTATCCTTGCTGGCTTTCCAATAGTAGAACTTCTGTTGTAAGATAATAGAAGCTCTGTCTGTGGCTTTTGGCATTTATAATGTTCTCCCAAACTTCCTTTTTAATGGGAATGCATATGAGTATTTAAAGATATTGATGCTGAACAATCTCTTAAGTTTTAAAGTTCTCCACACGCTCTGTGTTTAAGCCTGTATGATTATTATCCTACCCACTCGTTTAGTCCTGAAATAAGATATGTACTAGTAGAGGATGGGAGCCCAAATTTTTGACAGTTACCTGCTGCTGCCAGGTATTACAACATAAAGGAGTTTGAAATATTGAACAGGGTTGGTTTTTTTTCTGACTGCTTTGGAGCTTTATTTTGTGCAAATGTTGTATTGAAACTTTGCTGATGTGTTAGCAAACAATCTCATCACCTCCCTGTTTTGAGAGATAAATTATGGAATGTGTTAACATTTGTCACCATTTTTCTAATTATTTATCTTGCTGTTTTTGTTCCTGCTGTATAGTTTCAGTGAATGAGATCTAATGAACAGAACAAATTATATTCATTAAAATCTAATGTGAGGGCACATCTGGAAATGTAAACACTTCTGATGACCTCTAAAGTTGACCAAAAGTATTCAATGAGGTCTCCATCCTGCCCTATAGGAGGCTAATACTGTTCATATTGATTTATTTTTTTCTTTATAAATCCTATAATTTCATCTTTGTTGAGAGACATTCTCATTCTCACTTAGTGTTTCCAAAATCATACATGTTCATTTAACTTCCCATAGAATTTATTTTATTCATGCATTTGCATTTTAACCATATATTAGAGGTACTTTTTTTACATTATGAATCTTCAGGAAATTTCTTTAAGTGTTGGAAATCTCATATGAGCTTTGGATTGTAAATACTTAAATCTCTAAGCATTGGATAAATCATCTCTCAGGGAAACATAGCACAGGATTGGAACTGCTTTTGCAGTAAAGGTTTACCTGGGATTTTGACAGGCATAATTTGGAAGAAAAAGAACAACTTGACAATTTGTCTGGGGTTTTTTTGTTTCTTTGTTTGTTTGCTTTTTTAAAAACATAGTTTGGACTTCTTAGAAGGGTGAACTATTGAACTGTTAAAAAAATATTTTATAGGCAAAATGCCATGGGATGTGAATTGTCTTGTTAGCGTTTGTGACGCTGGAGTTAAAAGCCAGAAGGAATAATTTTTTTTTTTTAATTATGTAGGCAATTAAATTGGAATACACGCGTTTGCTAAAATTAGCCCAGGAAGATCCACCACCTGAATGTGATTATCGTCTGCGTCATGCAATTGTTTACTTCATCCAAAACCAGGCACCAAAGAAGATAATTGAGAGAACATTACTGGAACAGTTTGGAGATCACAATCTGAGCTTTGATGAAAGGTAATAAGATCTGCGCGTCTCATTTCCTGTGCTCACAAATGTGCTCTGGCGTGTGGAGACACCTCTTCATGTTCAGCTCGTGCCTGTAATAGAGGGAAGGCTGGTGGCTTTAGTTGGCTCTATCTCCTAGTTAATAGCTTGCAAGTTTACTTGGTAAAACATATCATCTTTTATAAAAATCTCTATAAAAAGAGTAAGCAAGAAGTTGGGTTTCTATTCATATAAAATAAGGAGAAATACTGAGTGTTGTTCATAACTTTGCACATAGATCTCTGTACTTTCTTTCATTGTGCATTTCCTCACTGCCCTGAAAGCCAGCAGTAGACAGCAAAGCCTTACAAGCTAAGTGAGCAACTGAATTGAAAGCAAGACAGTGTCTCTGTTTCATTCAAAATTCTGTCTACTTAATTTTAGAAATAGACAAATTACAAGTTAGAAAACATTAGTCTGATTTCTGTGTAGTGAATAATCTAAACTTCTGCAAAGTAAATGTTGGGGTGTTTCAAGCCGTCTGAACTTTTAAAAGAAAGACTGAGCAATGTGGCAATTTAGCAAAATAAAACAAGAAGTAATTCTTTAAATAGCACAGGCCTCCATCACACCTACTTCAAAAGTGTGCTCTCTCCTGCTGATTATACCATGCATAATAAAAATGAGTAGCATTTTCATACTGGTTTGCATAAGGCTGTAGCTCATACTGTTTGAAGCTGCTGTGTTGTGTGGATAATACCCTCTGTGAATTTCCAGTAATATTTCATGATTTCTTGTTGCTTTTTGTAAGGTGCCGTAACATAATGAAGGTTGCTCAAGCCAAACTTGAAATGATAAAGCCAGATGAAGTAAACATGGAGGAATACGAGGTCAGTATTTCTTATGCTTTAAATTAAGTTTTAAGGTGAAATAGTTACCAGTGAGCTGAATTTTGTCTTCGCAAATTTCCGCTTATCTTGCACTGAGAAGTTAAAACTGATTATTGAAAGATCATTTGTTTCTCTAGAGGCTGTTGTTGGTCTAAAGCTGTTATTTCCACATCTGTAATTCCAACGTTTGAGCCATAAATAAATGTCAGGTTGGAGTCTGTCCGTAGTTCATTAACGTGTCTTGACGTCAGCAACAATATTTTGTAGCTTATCACTATATGAGCCAACTGGCTTCTCTAGGCAGACAGAGCTGGCAGTGAAGGAGTGAGAGTGGTCTAAGCCCAGCCTTACTCATCCTGAGAACTGGGTAGCAGGCACAGCCACATTTGTGCTTTTCCTCCAGGTGTCTCTGTGGCCATTCTCATTTTCTTATGAGCAGCACATTCTTCTTTTTGCTGAGGCCATACATAACCAGCTTATGCACTTAATATTTCCTCCTGTGTAAAAACTTGGAGAGAAAGTAAGAGCGAATCTGGGACATTAAATAATCGTGATTATATTTGCAAAAATAATTCATCTCACAATTAAAGCTAAGCCTGTAGCTGGTTTTACAGCAACAGCTTCAACTCTATGTAATAATATTCATTAAGACCTCTTAACAGCGCACCACTTACACCTCATTGTTGTGCTGTTAGGTCCAAAGAACTTGTTTAGGAGGATTATGAGAGTAATTATTCCCTCACAAACCAAATGAAAAACATTTGTCATTTCTCATTAACGTGTCCAGGACCTACAATAGATACTCCCATATTACAGTGTGCCCTCTGTAGCCTGTGATGGGAAAGGGCCCTTAGAGTTGCATTTCTGGTTCATATTCTTGGCTGTTCAGGGATCAACATTTTACCATTTTCAGAATGACACTGCACAGAGAGAATAAACAATTCTAGACTTAGCTTTAAGAGTGGGGAGTTAGGGGTGTCTTCTGTTCCCCTGCAGATGTGCCCCTTTTCTAGCTGCTGAGGCAGATGGTGGTTTCTCCATAGATTGTGTCAGTATTAGTCCTGTATATTGAGTTGGCATTTTATAGACCCTTTCTCAAGCTCTTTTTGTTGAATCTGTAAGAAAGTGTGTCCTCTGGTGTGCTATCCCCTGTTTTATCTTTAATGCACAATTGAAAGTTGGCATCTAACGTACTGTAGTAAAAGTGCCTTTCTCACTTAGAGCATTTACCTGTAAAGTAGACCAGGAGTCACTTTGTATAAATGGTGAGGCAGTAAGATAAATGTTCTACTCCAGTACCAACATCTCCACAGTCGGAGTTGGATTTGGTTTTTTTGGCACTTCCCATGTAAAGTGTTCAGGCCTTTTCTATGTCATTCTTTTATTGAAATTTAAGCTTAATATTTAGCGTATGAAAAAGCTTTCTAACACTTCCTGAGTAAATAACTAAATGTAGTGTAGGAAAGAAAAAAACGGGATCTTATAAAATTCTTAACTGTGGTTCTCCAAAGATGCTTTGTGTTCCTTTCAGATAGTAATGCATTCTGTAAGAATAATCTCATCTAGAAAGGTTTCAGATATTTAAGAATTTTCTTTTTATTGAGGGAGGGTGGATTCAGGTGGACTTTTCACATATGCAAGCCTACTAAGAGTCCTTAGCACTTACTGTGAGTATTCAACACTAAAAGTGGAAAGAGGGGTGTGTGTAAAAAAAAAAAAAAAAAGAAAAAAAGAAAAAATATATTTCATATGTATGGATGAAATTCTATTTACCCTTTCTTATATGCAGAGATGGCATCAAGACTACAGACATTTCAGGGAAACAACCATGTTTCTCATGGTGGGATTGGAGTTTTTCCAAAAAAAGAGGTAAGTGTTAATATAGAACTCAAATGTAGTAGAGTGATATAAAGACAAAATGTAACATTGATAAGTAAAGCTATTTTTTAAATTAAGAAATGTTTAATGTATTATTAATTTCAGTTAAGCATTTATTCAGTCTATTAATGTCTTCAGTCTTGCATCTGCCTCAGAGCTTCCCACATCTTCTTATCCTTAATCTCCATTTCCAATCTCTTACCAAGCCATGGGTACTTTTCAGAGCACCCTTCATGTGCTCCCTTATTGTTCCTTCTCTCCTAATCTTAAGTGCTCTGGGTATCCCTCAGCCATAAAAATCTTTCTCTGGCACCACACATGCACGTACATTTATCTGCTTTCATCAGCAATCACATTTAGTCAAGTCCTGTCTTACCTGCCATTTTACTGGGTCTTCCCACTAAAACAAAGTTTTGCCTTCTGAGCCAAAACTCCACCAGTGATGGGTTCTAAAGGTCTTGAAAGCAGAACATATTTGAGAAAAACTATCATGCATAGCTGTCATAGTTGTAGCTGATTGTCCTTAGCTCCATGGTGATTCATTCTCTTCTCTTTTCGAATCAAGTCAGGAATTGTGACTGTATAAAATTGGTGACATTTATGTACTTAATGCACTACAGCTAAAATTTATTCTGATCATGCAACAAGGATGGTGATTACAGTATAAATACCTCAAAATGAGAATTAATCAATTCTCATGAGAGAATCCCTCAGTGAGAATGGAGAATAAATGTCTCAAACCAGAATTGTTCAGAAGTACCTCATCCTCCCATGCCCAGCCAAGGGAATGAAGTAGTTAGTTGCAGAATATCCAGTGGTTGACATCTGTGGCGTGAAAATTGAGCATTCACATGAGATAGGAATTTTTGATTTTGGAAACAATTCTGTAGTCAATCACTGATTTTTCATGCATAAAACAGTAGGTAAGGTAATTTATAGTGGGAATCAAATTTAATTCATTGTCTCTATGCTTCATATTTCTCTTTCTTGTCTTGTATCTTCCCAAAAAAGAAAGGCCTCTAACAAACCAGAAAAATTGATTGGAAAAGACACCGCCTTGCCTTTGTGACAAGATATGTGTTTGTATAGTGGCAAACACAATGACCCCATAGTCTTGATTTGTCTTCTGCTTGCTAGCATATAATAAATGGTACATTAATTAACAATCCAAATTGCAATATGCTACCTTGACAGTCTTAAACAGTTTTTGTGCAAAGATTAGTCAGAAGATTGCCTGGCTTACTTGAAAAATAAACACTCTGGGGATGTTGCAAAAAAGTCACAGGCATTGGTGTGGATTACAGGAACCCTCCTTGTTACCCCTGTACTTCATGCATGCTCTGAGCTTGTAATCAGGAATGGAAGATCTTCAAGTTCTTTGGCATTGGGACTCCAACTGTAAAATACCAGTGTTTTCACTTATTTTCCTCTTGCCATAATATATTGTGATCATGCTGTAGGGGAGGGAGCAAAGCACAGGTTTCTGCTCTGTGCTGAACAGCAGTTTTCAGGAGTTTGCAGTTTCAGTACTTTCAGCCTTTTTTAGTAGTTTGGTGGTTTGGTTTTGGTAATTTCAACTTTAACCATAACCTCGTGTTCTCACTAGGAGTTGAGTAAGTGCACAATGTACCTTTTCTTACTTGCCTTAGGAAATTTCTCTTCCTAGTTTTTTTAAAAATTTGAATAAAAATGAGATATCAAAGTGCTTGTTTTTAGGGTAACTGCCTGGGCTGCTTTCAATGCCTGTCATAAGTGGGTTTTTGTAAGTCAGAGAATTAACCATTTCAGGTTTCTGCTGGAAATGGTGTGCAGCAGCGTGAAGGGAGATTGTTAATCTGTACATGAAGGGATCTCTGTCAATTATTAACTGTTAGGTTTCTGAGTCCTCTCTTACTCCTGGTCTGCCAATCAGGCTTGCATTTATCTTCTGCATTTAGATTAAAGACAGAACTACCAACAGTCTAACAGCACTTCTGCTTTTGAAGTGCCGTTGTGGCTTCTTCCATCACATTAGATTTCAGTAATTTGGAAAAGCTTAAAGTTAGTCAATATTAAAAATTCACAGTTTACGTTTTGGAAGTAAGGTGACAGCTTTGATTCTTATTTGCTGAGGTGCAGAATGCTATTAAGAGATTTATGGCAACAGAACCTCAAACCTAATGTGACATAAATGCACAGTAAAGTTTTCAGGTCTACTCAAGGCCCATCCAAAGGCAGTTTTAAAGTGAGTGAAATGATACCTGCTGGTTTCAGTGAGCTCTGGATTACATTTCATGTGCAATGATCTAACCTGATAATAAAATAATTTGGGTTTATGTGTCTAAACAACAAAACTGTGTGGTAGAAAAAAACATTGTGAAGAGATTGGTGGGTAGGGGTGGACTAGACATAAAGCAAGTGGAGTTACCTATCCTTCACGTTACCTTGGAGCAGGTGGTACCTGGATGTTGCATCTAATGCTTTTGTTTCTTCACTTCAGCTATATGGAAGCCTTGCTCTACCTTATCTATGCTTACCAGAATAACAAAGAACTCCTGTCCAAAGGCCCGTACAGAGGGCATGATGAAGAGCTGATATCTCACTACAGACGAGAATGTTTGCTAGTAAGTGAAGGGTCAAGTATATGTTTCAAAAAGTTGAGTTTGCTGCATAGCTTGAATAAAATTAATTAGTAGAAAAGTGTTGCTATTATGTACAACAAAAGCAAAACCTCCCTCTGTTAACAATTTAATACTTAGACTCCCGTATGGGGAAAAAAAAGCAAAAGTAAAAAGGAAAACATTATTTCCCTTTTTTTTTTTTTTTGAATAATCAGTCATTTTTGATCGATTTGATTGGTTACATTTATGATTGTAAATAGTGTGCTCACTGCCACCATGTCTGGGCTAGGTAGGAGCAATGGTTGACAGCACTGGGGAGCAGACTCACCCTGTTGCCATAGTTTTATGAGGAGCCAAATATTGGAAAAGGCGTCAGTGGTGATGCCTTGTCTGAAGCAAGGGGTTTTTTCCTTGTTATGTCACCTTTAACAACAGTGAGAAAATAAAAGCAGGTGACAGAACCTCAGTCTTAAAAAGAATAGTTGCAAAGTTGAAGTTGGCAGGTATGAAATGAAGTGGCTTCAGGAACTGCACAAGATCGAGTGGATTATTAGAGTTTATATATCATTGCTGTAAATGTTAAAATACAGCTGTGGTTAATACGAATTACTAGGTAATTTTGTGGGAACAAAACAAACTGATAAAACTGATGCATGGCAGAATGTGAAATGCTGTATACTTAAAGGCTTTCCTTTTCTGTGGTGGTTTATGAAGAAACTAAACGAACATGCTGCAGCACTGTTTGAATCGGGAGATGATCAGGAAGTGAATAATGGCCTGATCATCATGAATGAGCTTATTGTCCCCTGTTTGCCATTACTACTGGTGGATGAAATGGAAGAGAAAGATATTGTTGCTGTGGAAGATATGAGAAACCGTTGGTGTTCCTATCTCGGACAAGAAATGGAACGTAAGTCATTTATTCATTAAGGTTAAAGGCCCTCATGCACCTTTTTTATAAATATGATGTTTCTCATGACTGGAATTGAACCTATATCATTTGTGCCTTCATGACGTTTTTTGAGCTACCCTGACTTTTGAATAATCCTGTACACATTTAAATAAGAAGTTTTTCCGTGTGTTGCACTGGGGTATCAGGCCTTAAGGGAAACGTGCTTTTCAAATGGAAAAACATTTGTGGTGTTAGACCATCTGAACGGGCATTTATATCAACATCTTTACTATACTAGGAATTGGTATGTCCTAGTTATCGCTGGTAGATCTGTAGAAAGTGGATTATTCCAAGTGAAACTCCTCTTCTTCCCACCCACCATTAAAAAAAAGTCAACATTGGGCAGAAAAGGGAGAATTCCACATGCAGGCGTAAGTGCTTACATTTGTTTTTCTCGCTTGATTTGCAGCCAACTTGCAAGAAAAGCTGACAGATTTCCTGCCAAAACTGCTAGATTGTTCTACAGAGATTAAAGGTTTCAATGACCCGCCAAAGTTACCCTCCTACTCCACACATGAACTGTGTGAAAGATACGCCCGAATCATGTTGTCACTCAGTCGAACTCCAGCCGATGGGAGATAAATTCTGCGACCTTCCTAAGCACATTGTATAAACTTTTTTAGTTCTTAAACCTTGCCTTCCTGTCACAGGGTTTGCTTGTTGCTGCTATAGTTTTTAACTTTTTTATTTTAATAACTGCAAAAGAGAAATGACTGTCCAAACTTTAGCCAGACTGCAAACGATTAAAGCTGAGAATCGCATGGCACTCAGTCGTTTCAACCAGAATTGATGCAACATGCAAGTCTGATCATTATGGCAAAACTGCTTTTTTGCCATTTATCTGTTACAGTATTACTTTGCTTTTATCTTAAGATCCTTTACTTTATCAACAGCTGTCTGGATCATTTTGTGACTGCAACTACTTTAAGTGTCCAGTGCTGTGTAAATACATGGTACTTGGTAGCTTGTAAATGAAATGAAAGAATAAAGTTTTATTTATGGCTACTTCTGTGTTTGCAAGCAGATACCTTGTATATTATTGTAAAATACGGATATTTTTAGAAGAAATATGGTATATTGATGGGTTACTCAATTTTATAGACAAGGTTCTTCAGGATTTATGGCCAGTTTAGATACAGGTAGTCGGAGATTACTGTATGTGAATATATTGAAAAACTGTCACAGTATTATACACTATGGTTTTTTGTATATTCTTCACTGATCTGTATGATACTGCACCTGAACACTTTTCTCTGTGTGAATGGCCATGCCGAGTCTTTTCTAACAGTAAGGACTGGCTTCTGAAGCAAAACAATAATGGCACCTTCCTTCTATTCTCAAAAAAAAAATTAGAGTAAAAAAATTAAAAGTATTTTCAGTAGATATATATTACACCCTCTGAGCAAAATTTCTAGAAATTGATTAAAGTAGAGAATATAAAGGTTTTAAAAAATGGAATTTATTAAGCTTAAGGATTAATCAATTTTTAATTGGTATTTTAGTCATGTAAATGACCAAAAATAAAACCTTAACGTTAATTCCTTACTTGAAATGGGTTGCTATTGTTGCAACAAAATATCTCAGAAATCTTTTATCTGTCCTAACTGAATTTCTATTGGAAGTGAAAAAAAAAAATCTATTGGGCTTCTTTTGTAGAAATTAAATACTGTCTGGTTTTAATGAAGAAACTTAATTATTTTGTGGAAAAAGAGATTTAATGCGTCTGAGGTAATCCTGTTACCTGACACTATTTTGATTCCTACTCTTTATAGAGAACGTTTTGTGTTAGATCAGTAAAATATGTGAATATTTATTTGTATGTTTTTATTGGAGCGACACATCTTTTCCTTACAGGCTTTCAAGAATGGTGTTTATTTGAATATCTACTAATAAAAGGCCACAGAGGAAGGGAAGGACCACCTAGAAATGCAGTGGGCATAAATGTAGGCACCTCATGTGCAAGAAATGGCAGAGTTCACCCTTAGCGCATATCAGTCTTAGAAGCAGTTCACTCTTGAGAGACAGTGGATCACAATATATAGTGACTGGAGTGTGGCCTTCAATTCAAATTATGTTTAGGGATGTTCTCTTCTGTTTTCAGTACGGCAGTGCTTCAAGCTTTTTCAGACTGTCCATTTACTTCATCAAATTCTTTTTTTCGAAAAGAATATTGAACTTTTAAAAGTGAAATACTGCTCAGGAGCCTTTTTTTCAGGTCTGAAACTATTGATGTGCAAAATATCACTCGTCAAGGAAAAGGTATGCTTATTATGAAATGGTAGAGAGGATAAATTTTAAAAGGTTTTACATTTTGCACCTGTTCCACTTTGATCTGAAACTCAAGAATATTCCTCCTTAGCACTGTGTACTCTTAAACAACCTCTTGAACAGATCAGACTTCTCACTTGCCTTTTTCAATAATAGTAAAAAGAATTAAATGTAAAAGAGCAACTCTTATTTTGTTATTGCTAGAAGGTTCTGAGTTTGGGTGTTTGTAGAAGCTTTTAAGGAAAGCTCCCCTCTAACCCTGCAGGAGCCAGTTACCCTTATCTGTGTAATCCTTTGTGACAAACACAGGGGGAAAGCCACTCTTTCTAAGATAGGGAGAGTAATAAATTATTTCATTTGGGAAGAATATCTAAGCGATTTTAAATTAAGGAAGCAAGGAAGGATGAGATTGTTCTTTTTCTTTGTTTTTTTTTGTTTTCAGTTTCTTCAAGTATGAAAATAATCCATTGTAGAACATAGTACTGAAGATAAATATGTGTTCCTTTGCAAAGACTTGAGTTTCTGGGTTGAATTGAGGTCTAGTCAAGCAGAAATAAATATATATGCATTTTACTATTTTACTATATTTTAAATATCTGATTTTTCAGCTAAATCATTTTAGTTTATTATTTTGTCTTAAAATCTTTGCTTTTTCACTGCAATAAGATAGTTGACAGCTTGGATTCACATTGCCTAACACAAAACCTATAGAAGTAACTGTGAGGTAGTAAAGCATAAAGTTCATTTGCTACCTAATAATCTGACTGGGTTGTGTAAGTAGATATGTCTCTTCAGTATGGAGATTGAGATTTTTATATTTTTTTTCACTTTACAGAACACAAAAAGATTAAGGGAGTTTAACCAAAACTCATTAATAAATCACCTGCACCATCAAGTAAAGGGTGGATTTTTTTCTTTTTTCCAAATGTTGCTTCATACTGTGGAGGACCCTTAAAGCACTGCCCTTTTTCAGTTAATTGCCTTTTCCCCAAACACACAGGTCTTCTTTTTAGCCAGACTATCCTATAGCTGCACTTTATCTGATGTTTTGGTAGTATCAAGAATCCTGTTGACTCCAGCTCAAGCTGCCATGGCAGATCTGTTACTATCAGCCTAGCAGAAGACCATGAGCAGCAGCAGAACTAACCTGAACAAATGAAGAGGATCGATGGAGTCAATTTGTACTTCTTAGATGTGGTGGTATTTGAGGTCACACCAGACACAAAGACTTGACCTTTGTTATCAAGTTGCTTTGTGGACAATCTGTGTTTTAGCTGCAGGGAACAGGTTTGCTCCAGAAAACCTGAAGTATGAGCAGAGTCAAAAGCATGTGCTTCGTGTTCCAGCATTAAAATACCAAAATTTGATAATGTCTGCATTAAATATCTTCCAGATTATTTTTAGGCTGCTCCAGCGTGCCTGTGAAGATTGCAGCTCCAGAAAGGAACTCAATGTCAACAGTAGCACACAGGAAACAGTCCGATACTGTCCAACAAACATAAAGGTCCCTAAAGGGAGAGACAATGGTGGTTGTTTATATTCTTCATTTTGTGTTGTTTCCTTTTCTCAAACTCCAGTGCATCCAAATGTCTGTGGGAGGCCTTATATAAGCACAAGGTAAAGAATGTTGATGAGAAAATGCACCACTCTAAGTATATAATAAGTCACCTCATCTATGCAGTATTTTTCAACGTAAATGTGTATTTTTTTAAAAAATTATATTCTGGGTTTATGCCTAGAAGGATGCAAGTAAAATGAATATCAGTCATGACAGTGAGAGGAAAGTGTTTGCATCTTTCCATTACTTGCTTCTCTAGTGGATATTAATATAGATATGAAAAAGCTCTGACACAAAGAGGTCTTTTAGCAAAATACAGTAGGTAGAATTCAAAAGGACAGTAATTCTTTTAAGTGAAACAGAATTATTATTCATGTGATTGATATCCAGTTTATATATTGTGTTGTCCTGGTTTTTGAAGATCTTTTGAAATCCTGGGCTTAATGGATAAGTGTTAACTGGAAACACTCTTAACTCCTAAGGAATATCTTTCTTTATAGAAAAACTAACAGTATCTGTATTCCCCTAATTGAGTTCCCATCAGCAGAGCATTCCTGCTTGGTTCAGCGTTTGTTTCCACTCTGATCCATATGGGAGCAATTCCCCCAAAACTTCAGTGGACATGTCTGTTGCTGCCGTACACACTTGTGCTCCAGCTTTGTTGTCATGCCCTTAAAATCTTGGACTTGGCTATGGAATTTTCTTCATCATGAGTTTCAGATCTTCACTGTATGTAGTGGCTCACACTTCTCGGAAACAACTTCTTGAGGCAGCACTTTGAAAGAACAGCTTGACTTGCTTTCTGGTGGTTGGGATTAACCCAAATCCCCTTCTCACAGGCTGGGAAATGTATAGTGGGAAATGTATTGTTTTCAGGATGGTCATCACTGGATGGATTCATCGTGAATGCTAGGATATGGTCATCCTTCATCGCTCCATATCTTAGATGAAGTACCTCTCAAAGTTTGGGCTCCATGGTTCTGTTCACTCCCATTTTTTATTTCCCCCTACTCTGTTGTTCCCGTTGAAGTCACTTGAAGATCCCCTTTCCAGGTTTTCTAGTTGTTTAGTTTTTGATTCACCATGAGCTGGTCTAACCACTGTGCCTTCACTACTAGGCAGAGCTAGTGATACAGAACCAGGATTGCACTGCTTCCATCTGATTATCGTGGGCTTGGAGCTGCCTGTGCAGGATCTGTGGGTCAAGTAACACCATCCACACTCATGCTGTCTGAGCTCAGCATTTGAGAGCCTGAAATAGAAAAGTTATGGATAGTTAACTATAGTTAACTAAACTGTAGGCTTTTTCTGTACCATGTCTTGGCACATTTAAAAAAAGAAAATATTTTGTTGGGGACTGACTTAACAGAGCACTCACTGAACTGAGCACTTCAGAAGTGTGAGGGGCATCTCATGCACTGTCTCAGCACTATCTATCCAGGTTTATGAAAGCTGTAGAGGCTGTTCCTTATGTTCAATAATGTTTTCTTTGGTTTGCCCTGATCCTTATGCTCTGTCTTGAATTACTAAAACTGCAGTCAAACATAAATTTGGGCAAAAAATCAGCTATGTGGTGCTGTGTTGGTTTCAGTTGGTGTCTGTGCAATCCCTACCCATGTCTGTGTTCTGTATCTGAGTGTTTCCTATCACTGTATGGGACCATATCTACTTCATTATCTATGTGAAAGTTCCCTGAACCCATCTGTATTTTGTGGACATGCAGGCAGTCAGGGAAGAGCAGTAATTCCTGTAGATTTTCTTCAAGAAGCAAAACCTGCATTTTGTCTGACCTGAATCTGTAACTGAAACTTTAAGTTGAACTGTGGACTGAGGGCTTGGAAAACCTGTGGGAGTTTGGGGAGGGGTTATTTTTTTTTAAATTATAGATAATACGGGATCATAGGGTGGAGGGAATCACTGCATAAATATAGTAAACTTCCATATGGATTAGAAAAAGACACTTGTTGAAGTAAGAAGTTTAAAGCAAAAAAAGTCGGTGTCACATATTGCAATTTGAAGACAACCTCCTGTGTTCTTAGAGGTTGGAGTCGTTGGCTTTTGAAAGAAACCTTGATCTCTGAAACTGAGAAATTTGTAACTTTATTAATTCACGGTAATACATTCATTTAATCTGCTTATGAAGCTTTTTTATTTGGAAAGTTTCTTTAAGTTTTGCATCTCATGAAGCACATTTAAAAAAAAAAACAACCAAACCAACCAACCAACCAAAAACAAACCTTCCTCACAAAATCAAATAACAAAATCCCCATTCCTCCGGGGAGATATTGTTCTGAGAAGTCCAAGTTGAGTTTGAATGCACAAAAAAACTTCTTATCTCCTCCCTCCCGTGATCACAGTCTGTTTTGAACAAGTACATTCTGTTTTGGAATATGTACAATTTCTGTTTGCATTTCTGAAGGAAAGCTTGTCATCTCCATTGCCTTTGAATGTGAGATTAAGACCTGTAATTGTATTTGGCACAGCACTTGTTCCACTCTCAGCTCATGGTGACTGTAGTTATGTGGTTGTTGCAAGGTGCTTGCACAAATGAGCATCCATCTGAAGTATGCAGACCTCAACATGCTTTGAGTAAAAAGATTTACACTGCTGTGTTTTAGGAATTTACTCCCCTTCCCCCTTGGTCCAGTTTAAGGCTTTTATTCAAATGCCTTGCAGTGGGCAAGTAAAACAGTACTGGTTTTGTTTGCCATTGTTCTACTCCAGTGAAGACAGTGACATCTCTGTGTTACCTGGACTTCCTAAGAGATTTTATGGTGCTTTGTGCTCTGTGAATTTATCTGAAATGGGAGGTGATGGAGTTAATTACCTGTTGGTTGCAGTTGACAGAGAAGAGCCATAATGTTGTTTTCTCATTAGTAACAAATTAAAATTAAATAATTTCTCCCTTGACACTATTCCCCACAAGATTAGGAAAGCTGGGCATCTTTTCTAAGAAAGTAGAAGTCCACAGGTAAAAACTGGTAATAATTGTTCATAAACCCTTTGGGATCGCACTTGCATGGATAGCATGTTTGTTCTCCCGTCTTTGTTCCTGGAGTAGACACACACCTAAAAATACTGACTCAAAAGTATTTATGGTGGTTTTTTTATTTGCTCTATAGTAATTTTAAGGGGATTTTGGTTTATATATGTTTGCTTTAAAGAGGCTTATTTTGTAAATGCATAATGTCAATTTTTGATGTTAAGCAAGAAATTTCGATGAGTTCCAGTGGCCATTTTCTATCAGAAGTTAAGTTTTGAAACTTTGCAGTTGTTATCCGCAGTTCTCGATCCTGTTACCTGGCTAATTCCCTACTGTCCCCAACCAAAACACTTTTGAAACTAATTAGTGGGCTCAGGGCCCACTACTATAATTTTGTTGTTTGCTTGTGGGTTTTTTTGTTTGTTTGTTTTCTAAGGAAAAGATCATGTGTTTGGCAAAGACAGTTACAAGAGGTCTAAGGTAGCTACCAAATACAGCTAAGCTCTGGCTAAGAAAAGAAGAGAGACTATTAGTACAGCCCGTTTTAAACTAATCTGTCTTGTGTTATTTCTGCTATTAAGACAACAATTTTGTTGGAAGTGGTGTGCAAGTGGTTACAAATGCTGGTTACAAGCA